TAACTGTAATGAGCACTGGGTTAAAAGGAATGCTGCTCTCTTATTGGCTGCAGGAAGTGAAAAAGTCATATCTGCGAGTTACGATGTACCTTCTGTCTCCATAGTTAAAAAATGACACCACTTCAGTTAGAGTACATCCAGTATCAACATAGCGTTTAGTGTGAACCAAAACTTTAGACAAAACTTACAGACCACAGGCCCTTAAATAATATGCTTTTCACTTACAAAAGAGAAAAAACTTCTGTTTAAAATCCTTTGCACCCATCTTAGCGCATACAAATCTATTTTGTTTCTCCTTTACATTTAATCATGGGGTCTGTTTTTTAGAACACATTACAAAAACTCAATTTGTTGTTATGCAGACGACACCCAGAAAAATATTATGTCATGATTTTATATTGATGCTGATCTTCGTTGTTCGGCCTGCAGGAGCAATTTGGAGGTCCTACTGTGATTGTTCCTGATCTTGAGGGCACTCTGTTCCTCAAGGAAGATGGAAAAAAAGTGTGGAAACCTCGCTACTTTGTTCTAAGGGCATCGGGCCTCTACTATGTACCCAGAGGGAAGACAAAGGTTTGTCAACACAAAGAAGCTTTTTAAACTATTTATCATATGCAAACCTTAAGAAAATTGAAGATGGTTATTGATAGGGAAAATGTTAATACACAGTGTTTTTCAAAGGTGATTTTTTTGGGATCTACTGTATCAAGATAATCAATATCCTGCATCATATTCTCAGTAGGCTAATCTTTGCTAGCAGTAACTGTGGTGTCTAAAATGATTATAATGTGTATGTTAATGCTCAGAGAAACAGTTTGAATCATTAACACATGGAGGTTTATTGTATGTAGGGAATAAAAAGAGTTTATAATTAGGTATCTTCTTGGATAATTGATGCTATGTCTTTAAGTCTCAGCTTACATTAGTCTTAACCTGACAAGGGTGTAGGATAAAAAATAATCAGTTGTACATAAAAAATCGCATAGAGAGAAGATAATACCACTCTTCTGCCTTCACACCAAAAATATACTGCTATGGCTAGCAGCAACTCAGTTAGCTTTTCATAAAGACTAAGAAGAGGGAGAAACCGCTGGTTTAGCTTCATCAAAGGTAACGATAAATCCACCTACTTTCAGCTCAGGACGTATTCATTGTTATTGATTCACTTTTCATCCACTTTAAGTTTCAAAATGAAACTTTGAGATCATACCAAGATAGCTATGGTCCAATGCAAAGCTAACTAACAGAGAATACGATTTACAGTGTGAATAGAAAAGGAAACAAGTTGTTGGGAGACAGAGGAGAAAAATACATCCTGAAAAAAAGCTAATAGATAGAGGGGAAAACTGCGGGGCAGATGTGTTAATGGCCGACATGAGAGAGCTGCAGGAATCATCTGAGGCCAAGGACATATGGAGGGAGATCTGGAAAAGATAGTTCATTAGGAGGGAGGAAGAGAATCTGCCAAAATCAGACAAGGAGCAAGCATAACCAATATTCTACAGGAGTGTGAAATGAACCCACGTGTACGTACTGTAGGCTTCATGCAAGTCAGAACTAGTTAAGCAGAATCGGAGGAAAGATAAGAGATGAAAAAGAGCAAAGGTGCAAGACAATGTCTGGAACAAAACTAAATAGGGCAAAGAGATTGTTTTTCACCTTGGCTTGCATGCAGACACTTCTGGTGTCCAGTAAACGGTGCGTGTCTTTGTCGTGGTTAAATGTGTGACCATGATGTGCTTCTGCTCGATATCAAATGTTAAAGAAAGGAATGTGGAAATGCTCTAGGGAGAAAGACAAACTATTTTCACTGAAAATCAAATTGAATTTCTTCTAAAGTTAAAAAAAAAAAAAAACAGATTAAATTTTTCTTGGACGTGTCTTCATTTTAATGTCTAGCATACAGTCAGAGTGAGAAAGTTTGTTTTATCTTAACAACATGTGAAAACAACTACCAAAGCGTCAAGACTAAATATTCAACAGCCATGTTTTGATTGATTAAAAGTATGCTACTTTCTCAAATATCACTGTTCAAATGTTCTGGATTACCAATCCCGTAAATCATATTAACTTGCACACAGATTTTCCTTTGAGGTCAGTATGTTTGTTATTTACTCGTCCCATAAAGCATTCAAGAGCTCTGGTGTGCAGGCCTCATTTACAATATTTATATTGTTGTTTTTTTTCTCTCACAGTCTTCCAGTGATCTTGCCTGCTTCATCCATTTTGAGAAAGTCAACATCTACACCACGATCAACTACAAACAGAAGTTTAGAGCTCCCACCAACTTCTGCTTCATGCTGAAAGTAAGCTCAACACATGTTTCATGACGTAAACGCATTTCAGAGAACATTTATGTAATGCTGGACAGTACGCCCCAAATAATATTATTTGTAGTTGCTTTACTTTGAGATACAAATTCCCGGTACATTTAACAAAATGAGCCCATGTGTGATGGAAAACTAATGAGCAGAGGTTTGACAAGAGAGGAGAAACAAATAAACATGTGGCTCATAGTTCAAGATGGGGACAAGTGGGATTGCGATTTATTCCTTCTTAGAAATAAAACCAACACATCATTTTTTTTTTTGTAAAAAAATAAATAAATGAACAACTTTTTTGTTCAGTGGCTGGTAGGAGCAAAGGCTTGGCAACAGCAGAACAGAAACAACGTACATTTAGAGAAACGCCCCTGCTGAGAGTATTGTGCACTATGTGGTCTGAGCCAATTGACTGTATAAACTATGCAATGACACCAAACACCAAATTAGCCCAAGTATGTTTTCTGCATGACATGTTTGAAAAAAAAAAGAAAAAAGGTTTTAATGTAGTTGAGGCTGAAAAAAGGAAACATGATATGAATACACAAGAGTGACAGACTTGTATTAACCTGATAATATCACCACCATGTATTTGTTGAGCTGTAGTAATAACTACTGCAAATGTTATTTTCAGTTATCAGATATCACAATACAAAAAGAAACCCTGTAAGCATACATTAAATTAAAATGAATCTACTGTATACTTGATATATACTTTCTGTACATCAAAATAAAAATGTGTCCCATCAAAAACAGACAGAGATCAAGGTTGAAGAGATCTTCACATTCATAACACTACTCCACCAAAACAGATCAACATGAAGTAGTCGGGAGGTGAATACAGAGTGATTAGTGGACAACAACAGTTCCAATGAAAAGCAGAGTTCAGTCCCAGCGTCCCTCATAGTGCTGAGAGCGCATGTATCTGCTGCCCTCTGCTGGCTCTTGTGTTCACTACAAATAAACAAACGGAGCAGAGAAACAGCATTTTGCACTAAAAGGTACAATCCACCAATTTTTTTGTTACGTTTTTTTGGAGGCTTTTTGGGCCTTTATTGTAGAGATAGGACAGTGGATAGCAATGGACATCAGAGAGAGAGAGTGAGGAATGACATGCAGCAAAGGAGCACCAGCGGCGCCCCCACGATCCACCAATTTTTCCACCAAGTTTGGTTTACTCATTACTGGGAATACACACTCAGCTTTCCAAACAGATGACTCATGTCATGCTCCGAGAAAGCTTTGATAAATTTGAACAAAATAACCTCACTGATGTCATGATGATGTCATCAGCGTTTTCTTAGTTTGACTTTTACAGTCAACTTGTTTGGAAGGAAGGCCCTGATTTACAAACTTAAACTGAAGTGGTGGTGTTTTAAGGATGTGGGGGGCAAAATCTAAAAATGAATAATGTCGAGTTGCACGATGTATTCAAACTTAAAAACTTAATCTCTGCCCATTTATGAACATTGCTTTTGTAATAAGTCTCTGCTAAGTCTTAAACTTACTGGAAGTGTAAAATTAAACAATAGGATAACCCCCTAACATCGATATTATTGTTTTTTACTTTCTTCCCAGCATCCCCTCATCCAGAAAGAGTCGGACTACATTAAGTTCCTGTGCTGTGAGGACCAACACACACTGCTGCTGTGGGTCAACTCCATCAGAATAGCCAAGGTCAGATTCAATCCTGTAACACAAAAGCTAAGTTACATGTTAAAGCCATTTTGCATCAACTTCTGGATGTGTGTCCTCTGTGTGTTCAGTATGGGAACGTCCTGTATGGAAACTACCAGGCTGCTATGAAGAGAGCTGCCCCCACTTTGCAAACTCTCCACTCTGCTGCACAAACAGGTGAGTGTACACATTAGGACTTTGATTTAATACGCTGGTTCTAAGAAGCTTGAAGTATCATTTAGCAAAGTCAGTGTTAACAATTTGAAGTCGTCACTATCTTAAGAGGCAGTAAACATGATTATGTTCAAGTAGCTGCATGTTGAATTTGTTCACTTCCCAAGACATAACTAAACCTTAGAGGAACAATGTTTACTATCCATTTTATTCTTGTTTTTTTATTTATTTAAATAAATTACATCATTAAAAGAAGACACACAAGATAAATACTTGCTTTAATAAGTACTGGCTAAGGGCAGATTTCTGCTGCTTTCTGAAGACAACAGAAAAACATAAAGCAGGAATTTTCAGGAGGAAACCATATTTAGAAAAAGTAACTTTCTGTCTAAACAAATACCTGATCCCTCAAAATGTGTCTCTACAGAAAAATCCCACGGTCATGTTGAAGACTATCCTCATGAGTCACCACCTGACTTCATCCCCCCTCCTCCTCCTCCTCCTCATGGACACATGCAAGTCTGAACCAGGTTTAACTTCAGCTGGCCTGGATTAAGTCCTTTTAGTTTCCCTTTGCTTTAAAACATTTGAAATAAAAACACATCTAACTGATGCCAATGATCTTATCAGTAATAACTCACACATGTACAGAAATAGGTGTTTGTGATGGACCTTGTACATGAAGGGAGTTTTAGCACCATCTAGTGGTAGTGTAAGGGATTGCAGGTTCAGTAGATCCAGATAAATGATATAAGTATTTTCAGCTGACTAAGTTTAGACACATGACCTGTTCCACTAGCTTAAGAACACAAAAAGCACACAGTTCTGTTCATTGTTTCAATGAGCTGTTTATTACAAAAAGACTGTACATAAATTTCAATGAAGACATCCTATGTACAAACTGAGAGGAGAAGACAAACACTGGATTCTGTTCCCATGAACATTTAAGTTACTGTTTTTTTCCATCATTAAGAAAAAACACATCGAAGAAAGGCGTCTTGACCTGTGATGCCATGAAATGTTCGACGTTACGTGGTAAACATTACAAAGTTCTGCACGTCAGTGGTTGTCTCATGATTTCTCTATGAAAAGAAAAGTATAAATAAAGCCTTTACATACAAACTGCTCACCAGCCTTTTCTCCACAGTCTCTGACACGCACACACAAAAAAACATGTCCAATGCAAAGCTAGAAATACATTAGGTAGAAAAAAGTTGTTTTCTCACAAAAATGACCTCAAGATGGAAAAGATACAATCAAGAATGGGATGTAGTGGCAGATCATTCACTGTAATGACGTTGAGATACTTTCATGCACAGAAGCTGAATGAATACTGTTCATCTGTGTCTCCTGGAAAAATCCCTCTTAAAGTCTGTATTCATATTATATTCAAATGTCCCCTTCAATGTCCGGCACGTCCCAAGTACATAGGATTATGTTTGAGTAGCTTGTTACAAAACATTAGCTTTGATGATATCTAACGGCGGGTTTCGACCTGCAACAACAATCACTTTTTAAGAGCAGACATCAAAACTGATATCTTTATACGAGCACTTTTTGAAGACCTTGGGGTTGCAATTCATTCCTTCACTGCAGTTAGTCATTCATGTGGAGCGAGACGTGTATCTGTAAGTAGCTGATTCTAACTTTAGTACATTACTGATCGCTTCCCTTCAGTCTACATTCACTTAAAAAATGCAGAGGCGATTAAAGACGATTACAATCGGATGTTTGTTCTCTCTCTGGAACAAAGTATTACAACTTGAATCCCTTGTTACCTTTTGACAGTTTCTAGAGAATTCATAATTTGAGGTTGTTTGTGTTGGTGATAATGGTTGTTGAGCACCAATGTAAAGCACCACACCAGCAACCACTGAAGGAGCAGACAACGACAGGATAGAGGTTAGTTGATATTTCAGGAAAGCGATTGTTGTTTAAAAATCAGAGCAGTGACGGTAATCATAAAGTCATCACAGTTGCTGAAAACAATCAGTGCACAATGAAAAACAACATATTTTTAAAAAAGAAACCTGGGTTAGTCCTTCCTCTGCTTCACAATTCGAAGCAGCAAACCCTCCAGAGCTCTGCTACAGTGGCTGGACAGCATCACCAAACTCAGTGACAATGAAGAAGATGATTAAACTCAGACTGAACATAGATAAAACTCATGTTTACATGCAGCCACTTGGAGTTAAGATGGCACCGTGAGTGATGAATCAAATTAAAATTCAAGTAAAAATAAAGACAATTGAAAAGGAAAACACCAAATCTTGGCATCCCCTCCACTGACGCTGATGGAGAGTCACAGGTGAAACACACTCGACTGACAAATGTAACTGTACTGGCAGCTTCTCACGTGACAGTTTATATACAAGTCAGAGAACAGAAAGAAGAAGCTGTTGACTTTTTTTTTCTTGTGATGTGTTTGTACACTCGGTTCACCCTTTTTAACAGCATCGCCACCGACACAGAGCATAGTAAATACACAACAACTCCAAGTTGTTTGTTCCCCTTTTTTAAACGTTGTGTGGTTCGGACATCGACGTCATCCAACATTCAGCCGTGTCCTAATGCACTTGTTGATGTCTGTTTGTTCTATAGACTGAATATAAGAAGTGGACCGTTTTCAACCTATGGAATAGAGAATATTTAGATGAGAGGGAGGAAACATCGTTTACATCTCGATCCTGGTTAAAGCTCCTGTGAGAACTTTAGGTTTGCCTGGATTTCATATCTTTGATGATTTTGTCCTGTAATTGGATGGATAGTGTTTTCTGACAAAAAATCTCACCCTGCTTACAGTCCAATGTATCACTAATGGTGAGCCATTGTGAGTATTTGCTGAAGATGTAATAAGGTGTAAATGGTGTCGTATGACAACTACCCTGTGAGAGCTGTTAGCGGCACTCAAAGGTTCAATACTGAAATAGTAAGTCTTGTCACTAATAATCTTGCCTGCCTTTTAAGGTCACAGAGGTACATTAGCATTAATTCCAGTCTGTTTCATAACCAGCTCTCCTCACAGGAGCCTAACCATAACAGGTTAGTGGCGTAGTGATCACAGGTAGCCACGCCCTAAAACGTCTATATAACTTCAAGTGGGACAATATTTTACAAAATTAACATCATTTTGCAATCTTGTCTCGTTTCACATAATTGGACTTCTTTTTGCAAACAGTGCATTTCCCCCCCCCCTCCTCTCCCCCCAGTCGCTGGCCATGAGAAAAAAAAGATTGCATCACTTTTTCAAAGAGAGGCTACGTCCACTTCTTATAACTGTCCACGGTTGTCCTTTTTCGATTTGTGTGATAAGGTAATATGGATGTTTTTTTTAAAAAGGAGGAGTGGGTTGGTCTGCAGGTCTACAGTGCAAATAGAAGGAGTAGGAGCACTAGATCCTCATACAGTAGGAAATACACTGCCTCGTCAGGTCACTAGATCTACTGCATTGGAAATACTGCAGACCATGATAGGAGCAGATGCACAAATTGAGTCTAAATCTAGATTAATCATGACCTCTGACATTATTTGTTTATTTCTCTTGAGGTAAAACGTGACCTCAAATTGTTACCTGCCAACACAGATGTGACTGTGATAGCAAATAGACAGATGTCTCCTCCCTTTGCTCCACAGTGTACACTAACAGACCCCCCCCCCCTGTTTCAGGCCCCTCCTTCTTTGAACGACAGTTTTTTGTTTTTTTTTAATCATTTTTGAGCACAACAAAATCCGTGCAAGCCCAAGCCCCCCAAAAGATAAACAGTTTATGAGTTCAGCATGGCACTTCATTCAGAATGGGGGCTGTATGAACTGCACACGCCTGCCTGTACATCGTCACTCTGTTTCAAACTGCAGTGCTGCTCTGGCTGTTTTGTTTGTTTTTTTGTTTTAGTCAGCATAGTGCATGATGGACTCGACGTAGTTTCCTGGGAAGAGTCCAGTAACCCCGTTACTGACGCCTTCGTACCAGCCGTCGTCATTTTTCTTGATGATGTAGATGATGGCTCCTTCCATGAAGGACAGCTCGTCTTCCTTGTCCTTGGAGTAGTCGTAGATTGCTACGACTTGAACAAATAACATCACATAAAGGTTATTCTCTCAAAAAATACAAACACAGCTGAGTTTAATGGGTGAAGAGTATATATACCAACCTTTCTCTAAATAGGCTTTGGGGGCCCAGTTGGGGTCCCCGTCAGAGTATGGGTCACTGTAATGGACCACCGCAGCCTCCTCTTCCTCATAGTCCACAGGTGGGGGAGGAGGGGGGGGAGACGGCTCCTCAAACACATTAATGTCCTCGAGGGGAGGCGGAGGAGGCGGGGCAGGGCTGTCTGTTACTGAGAAAGGACAGATGATTGACAGAGTCAAAACAGATTACAGCAGAAAGTAAGGGAAGAGGAGGGCACGCGTGAGATGGGTTTGCTCTTTTTATCCGACTCTGCAGTTCATTTCAAAACATTATCTCTCCGAGCAGAGGATGTGCACATGTTCCATTTAAAAATCCAACACTTTGTATCTCTCAGCTGTTTGGGTCAGAGTCAAAATGTTAAAGCAATCCGTCACAAGGCTTGGTCGTCTTCTTAACAACACAAACCTCTCCGTGTAGAAGCAAACTGGGACAATATTTATCATTTAAAATAAAAACCAGACTTATAAAGAGTAAATAGTGTTGATTTAATTTGTCCTTTTGGAGAACCATCATGTGGACCCACAAAAACCTTTGGCACATTGTGAAAACTGAGAGTTATGCTACAGTAGACGTGTATTAATTAAAATGTTCACTAGAGGGCACTTTAGGGTCCTTTTTACTGCACTAGTATTACTACCATTAGGAGCAGTAGTGTTAGTAGATGTTTTACAATGACCACTGTGGACCCTAAGTCATCATCTTACACTTGTATTTAAATAGAGTCAAAGTTCAGTGTCTATTTTTTGTTATTGTGCCTTAAGGGGATTTGAGAACAGTTGCCCTTTGAAGATGACTAATGCTTTTTAGAGAATGACACTGTACCAATTTATATGAAAATGGCGGGGCGCTGGTGGTGCAGTGGTTAGTGAGCACGCCCCATGTATGGAGGATATAGTCCTCCAGATGGGCAGCCCAGGTTCAAGTCCGACTTGTGGGTCCTTTCCCGCATGTCATTACCCACTCTCTCTCCCTGACTCTATCCACTGTCCTAACTCTCCAATAAAAAGGCATAAAAAAGCCCAAAAATAAATCTTAAAATAAATAAATAAATGAATAAAAGTCTCAAGCAGCAGTTTCTTAAATAAAAAGACGATGAAGTATTTACATTTGGTTTACATTGTTAACCAGTTAGTGCAGAGCGCTGTCTGCTCGGATGTGATGCTCTGCTACATGTGTGCAGTCAGTGCTGAGAGGTTTTTAACTATGAAGACAGAGCACCTTCTGCTGGACTAAATACATGCTGACATAATTTCTAAATTCCCCCACCCCAAGCTTGGTGGTCTGAAAATCCGCCCTATAATATATTGTGACCAACATCTTGGTGTAGCTTTAATAGCCTCCTCTGATGACCTCCACAAAGTTGTTCAGTTATATCTTAGCTTGTTCCACTGAGAAAATAATGGCCACATTTTAAACGTACTCTTTCTGAACATTTCCTTTTTTTTATTAGAGAATGTGTTCATTTACAAATGTAATCAGGCTGCATCCGTGTTTGTGGTTTCATTTCAGTCTGCAGTCTGCACATGCACGAGGTGGTAAAATGGATCAGTGTTTGAACTGATGAGGGATTTTTTTTTTTTCTGACACTGCTTCACTGGTGCCACACTCTTATCTTCTTTGAATCACGTTTGTGCTTGTGATACAAGCATCCTCATGAAGCAAGTCCCCCAGAGATGAAAGAAAAAGCCCGACCTCTCGATCTACTTAATTCACTCTCTTGAAATAAACAAACTGAGCTAATGGACCAGGCGACTACATTTAATTCCAACCTGCTTACGCGTCTTTTTCCACTGACTTTAAATCATTTTCAAAGAATCAGAACTGAAAGAGCTTCAACATTTTACCACAGCTGTTTGGGATTTTAATAGTCCTCTCTATTACCCCTTAAAGGTCTGTAAAAACACAGCACACATTACGTTTACTAAAGTTGGAAAGGACTACATCTGAGTGAATATCCAACAAGCTCTTGAAATACTGTGTATTACTGTACAGTTTGTAAGAGACATTCAGTTAAAATATGTTACATACAGGATTTGTATTTCTGCTTTTTATTCATAACTATCTTTTTATTGTGGCATGTTTCCATTGCCTGCTGAGTCTTGCTGGTCACATTAACTACCCAGCTCCTCTGCTCTTTACATACTAATCCCTGTTTCTGCTGCTGAAATTGTAAAATGTGTCAGTTACTGTGTGCCAACAAGGCTCTGACACAGAGCTGTCTTGTCTGTTTAGAGGGAAAAGGTAAAGCTTCCATGCTAATTATTGGCTGAACATCTAAAACCTGGTCTAATCTGCTCTTTGTCTGACAGTATGACTCATCACTCAGTACGACGGCAGACTGTGTTACGTTTGAGCAGACAAACACAGACAGTTAGATCTCCACACGGCTGAATCTCTACAGACAGGCGGGCGGGAGGGGAATCTGGACACGACATCGGGCCACATTTTCTCTCTTCAGTGGACAGAGGGTGCAGGCTGCATGCTTTCCGTGATGTGATCCATCACCATGGTAACAGACGAACTTTCAAGGGGCATGCGATACCTTTCACCCCTAATACAGTGCAAGAGAAGGTCTGCAGAGTGGAGCGAGCCACAGAGGAGAAAATATGTGGCAGCAGGTGCACACGGAGACAACTTCAGAGTACTCTCAAGAGATGTGATTCAATGTAATAAAGCTGTATGCTCGGTTACATTTTTTTGGCCTAAAATGTCAACCTACGTTTGTTCAATATCAAGTGAAACATGACCCCAAACAAGACCCCAGATGTCTCTAATAAGCAGTGAAGTATGACCTCAAATATGTAAAAAGAAGAATCAGTGATATAGGGTATTCCCTTTAAATGACCGTAAATGCCTCGAAAATGTCAAATAAATATGTCAGTATATTATATGATATATACAGTAAATATGACCATTACTGTCCTCATAATGATGTGACAAATAACCAAAAGATGTCCATTAAGTATTGAAAACAATGTTTAACAAAACCTAACTTATGACCAAAAGATGTCTTCATTATTTAGTGATAACATCTGTATTTAATAAAATATATAATTCATTGTTTATTATACATTAAAAAGAAACAGGGGAATGTATCAAGCTAAATTAGCAGATTTAATGATTTTCTTTTCTAATGCTGGCTTACTTCTGAAGCATCCATGCTGTTGATTGGTTGTTTGAAGATAAAGGGTGTTACTGTGAGGTTCCATTTTTTTTAGAGTAATTTGCTATTTTAGTGGGAGCTGAGCACATATCTTGAGATCTTTGGCAGAATTGTGAAGACGTGAGTGTGCACCTTTGTGTATAGTAGATTCCATTGTTCCCATGCAAGAATATATTGACTATTTGCATGGGTGTGTGTGTCTCTGTATGGGTTTCTACTTACTGCTCTCCTGCATTCTGGCCACAAAGCCGGTCAGAGGGATCTGTGGGGTCAGCTGCACCATCGGAGGAGGAGGCGGAGGAGCCACAGACACTGGAGCAGCAACACCCATAGAGGCAGACAAAGCAGCAGAGAGGCAGAGAGAGGTGGAGGTGGTGGACAAAGGGAAGAAGATGACGAGGAAAATGATAAAGATAATAGAGGTGATAAAGCCCAGATACAGAGGCCGAAAAAGAGGAAACAGAAAAACAAAAAAAGCTTGTGAGTGAGCGAAACAGTGCAGGAAGCATTGCTGGGAAAATCAGTAACACGTCTCCAATCAGGGCTCTTTTGTGCTGAGTTTTTCAAGCTGGGCTAAAGAAGTATCTCATCGCAGTGTGAGAATCTACCTCATCAGCATCTCTTTGAAGTCGAAAAGCAAAGGATGTAGCTAGCGAAAAGTTTGTGCTACAATGAAAGAGCTGCAAAGCACTGCAAAGACGCAAAAACATCACAGCCGTGAGGTGAAAATACAGACTGAGCTGCAACATCTGTATCTCTCATCTGACTAGAATCTCATCAACTGCAGAATTATTGAGCTATGTCTAGACCAGGTGCAACATTTTAGTTCAACCACGCCCTTCATTTATAGGCTGAGCAGACATATCTCCATTCTTCTCTTAAGACTTTGACTTCCTTGACTTAAAAAGGAGATAAATGAAAACACATTCATTGACAATCTCTGTCCTCACTCACAGACGTGATGTCACACACACTCATCTCGGCTCTGACTCATAAATCACTTGTCATGGAGAATATTCACTAGACTGTAATGTCTTATTCCACCGTGCTCTCACCACAGAACCACATCTGCCCGCAGAGATCACAGAGCTCCCTTGTGAAGCAGCTTTTTGTGCTGTAACATTTCTTACACTCAACTCTTAAACTCATCCGAAATCCAAACGCATCCCTCACGCTCATGAAATTTCAACGAGGAGGCAACACTGAGATCATATGATGTCCCAGTTTGAGTCCCTGGTGGATCCAGCTCTACATTACTGTTTCTGTCGTCTCAGACGAGACAGACAGCCTCCTCTACCTCCGCCAACGCAGAGGTTTGTCCTTTGAGAGAAGCTATTAGAGGAGAATGGCTCAGAGTGATGCCTGCCAAAATAAATAATACTCTTCAGACAGACAATATGCATATGTCCTGGGTTTCCCCTTGTCTTACAGCAGCTTTCTGCCTGCCTGTCTCCTCCAGCTGACGGGAGCGATAATGTCATAACTCAATTAGAAATGTTAATGAAACAGTTTGCACAGCAGCGCTGAGGTGGGAAGGTTTCAGCAACCCTGACTTCAGTAATTATGGCTCATCGTTCATTTTCATTAGCCTCTGGAAGGGCAGGCTCCAGCATATCTCTCAGACCAGAGGACAGTTTTTAGCAGTTTAACATAATTATGGATTATAGAGAACAAAAAACTGACAAGTGCCTAGAATGGACAGCAAAATATAAGAGCTTCAACACTGCTTATTTTGGATCTTGGATTAGCCAAAATGTAAACACAAGTTTGCTCTGGTTTTACTATTTCTAACCACCAACAGTTTAAGAACAACACAGGTTCCATCTCAACAGAGAGGAAGTTATTGATGAATAAACTGATCCTGTATTACCTGAGTTCTGTTGGTAGGCCGGGCCGCCGTTGATGTGAGGCTGCTGGGAGGAGACTGAGGGTGCGCGGCGATAGGTGCCGGTGGCTGACACCATAGAGGCCGAGGAGGTGGTGGAGGAGTTGTGACGAGAGATCTGGCGGGAGATGGTGCCGAACTGGGACATGGGTATGGGACCCAAGCCGGGGCCCTGGGGCACAGAGGCTGAGGATGGGGCAACTGCAGGGGGAAAAGAGAGGCGGTAAAGCCGTAGCCTGATAAGTCGCTATTATTTGTATCATAAAATTAGCCTTTGATGTAGATGAATTCAGGTCTGTTCCTTTCATTTGGTTGCCTTATTTAGGTTGTTATAGGTCTAGTTTACAGTCCTATGGGTTTGACCTTCTATCAAATGACTGAGTGGACTGAAGCAACAAATTGTGCAGGATTAGAATGAACCAATAGGATCCAGAGACACACAGGAGGATCTGTAGAGTGAAGAGGCTTCAAATATTTAACAGTGTAAACAGCAGTAGTAGAGCAGGCAGCTCCCACTGTGGACACCTGTGGTGAGTGCTAAAGGTTACAGCAGCTGCTGCTGAGACTCACCTTGCCCCATACTGGGAGGGGAGGGGGTCGGAACTGCGATGGGGATTCCAACGCAACTGCCTCCGCTGTTCTCCCTGCCGCCGCTCCCCCCACTGCTGCCACTGAAAGAAACACACAGGCAGCGATCATTAGATGACATGGGAGACAATCCTAAATACATGACTCATCATTACTCGGACATATGTCATTCGTTATAGCAATATTGTTGTCACTATGGTTACAGTCCCGTGAATAATGCTGTGTATTCACACATGAGCATGGGACACGAATCTGGCAGAACACAGACATGCAGTTAACAGAAGCAATGTAAGAGCCAATGGCTGTTTGGGATGTAAGGGAGAGAACAATGCTCAATCTGAAAGCTCAGACTGAGGAGTAATTGGGTTTTGAATATGAACAAATTATCATTGCTTTAAATTTGAAATAATTTTGTCGTCATCAAAACCGTGTAAAGGCAGGTAACAGATCAAAGACTGTAAAACATTAAGCTGAAACATACTTTTGAAAAACAAAAGCGTATTAGTGGTCTTCAATCTGGGAATCACTTGTCCAAGCAGACTTGTTAACTGACACAATTTCTTGTTTGTGAAATCAGCTTTAATGAATTTGTTCTGGCATACAGGCCTTATATGAAACAATGAAATAAGAAAATAATGTAATTTCAGGGATTTTTATTAATACCAGATTCATACTGTGCTGATCTAAATTCAGGTACTAGTATAAAAAGGGCTTTAGGTACTGTATCAGTATTAGAGGTTTGACAAAATTGCTGGACTATCATCTCCCTGGTGTCAAATATCAATATTTCAATAAAATCAATATGACACTATAAACAGATTCCATTTGCAATTTGACTCACTACTTCATGACTCTTCAAGGTGGCGCCACAGAAAGCCCTCCTGCTCGCCGTGTAGTGACGTTAACATCATGCATTAACCACCGCACTTTTCAGACTGCTTTTCCGCCATAACTATGCTCAGCCGCCATCCCTTCTTTGTACATTCATATTGATTCTGCAACGGCGTGATATTTGTGAATTCACATTGTGTTTCGGCATTGCAGAAGCACGGCACAGCAGGAGCTTCACATACACACACACACAGGGATACAGGGATACATGCACACACACACACACAGCTCTGCGCTTTCCTGCCGGCTCAGTTGATCCTGTCTTGCCTCTGTAATGCGTCTGTTACTACCTCTGAAGACAGTACAGAACTTTGCACCCCTATTCACTCCTCCACGACAGTCAAATTGAAAGCGAAACGTCACAGAAGCATAAATGTTGTGGCTTCAAACAGCAGTCTGCCGGTAAGTCAAATAAGTAAGGTCTGCGGACGCCCACACAGTCTTTGAGAGTGTAAAAAAGCCCAACCATAGAGTCTATGTTTATTTCCAGTTATAAGAAGAGAGGGTCTTTGTTACCTGTGTGTCCGGGGCCTCTGGTTGAGTGAGGCTGTGCGTGCAGGGCTGTGCTGGCTGCCCAGTCGGGCCGGGCTTGTCATGTAGTCATTGGGCACCACCGGAGGCTTCACTGGCTCCAAGGTCTTGTAGGGAGTATTACGCCTGGATACAAAAACATTACATCAAAGAGAGCACCATTTCATTTTTATGTTTTCCTAAATGTGGAGAGCTGCTGATGGTATATAAAACCATTGTTCCATATATGAAGACTGTGTCAAATAAGCAGTTCATACAGGTGAAATGGTTTAATGATACAAAGCCACTGTCAAAGAAACTCATTTTCCATTTTGGCCTCGAAGAAGAAGAAGAGATATTTCATTTCATTTGATCATTTTTAACCTAATGCCAGTGCTCACCCAAGTGTACCACGACCGGCCATGGGGGGGCTTGGGGGTTTCTGTGTCGGTGGGTTGGTCCTGGAAATGGTGCCTCCTCGTCCTGCAGCATTGTTACCATGTTGCTGGAGGAGTAACGACAAGTAAAAAAGTTAATTATGTATTATCTGATTGGCTGACGTCTTTTTTTCCAGTCAATAACCATTAAGGCTGAGCAGTCGCTTTAACTTATAATGAGTAACCGAAAGTGGAATTACTTTTAAACGAGCATCAAATGAGAAAGAGTAAAGACAGCATCACTGAGTAGGTCAACTGGCTGTGGCTCTTGAGAAACTGTGGATTTAAAACAGCACCCCAACCATTGATTGGGTATCAGATGAAGAAATACAAGAAACAGGAAGTGTTAAGAATGAATGCTGTAAATGTGAAATAAAATACTTTTTTACTTTAATCTTAACGTCTGGAGTTGAACCTACCACTCCAAGTTGAAGGTAGATTTACGATACTGTTTTGTTTGACTTTAAAATGACTGTTTGTGTTGTAACAAAGGACAGAAAGTTGTAATGGTTGCATGCATAAATGATGATGATGATGTGTTGTAGTTTTTAACACAAAATGAAAAGGAGAGAAGACAACCGTGTCTTACCTTGGCCTTAAGCCACTGAGTGAAAGCAGGCAAAAAGAGAGGACAGAAAACAGGACACGCTTATTGGTTAATTGTGTAAAAAAAGAGAGATTAGTGAGAGCAAGTGTGAAATTCAAGAATTAAATGAAACCTCAAAGTAATAAAAACATTTCTTTACACAGTTCATATGAGCATCATGAAGAAAAGGAGAGGTTGGACAAATTGAATTCTGCCGAGTGACAAACGAGGGATGACATTAACGCTGAAGGAGGGTCTTAATATCTGTGTTATCCAGTCCCTGGATTACTGAACGTAGTTACTTCTTTAGTGACATTTGACATTTGACATTTTAAAATTCTGATTAGAAACCAAAGTTATTATGTTTACACTTATCGAGTTAATAGTTTACTACATAACCAGAATAGTTGTTTGATCCTATTAGGTTCTAATTAGGGCCTGATGGGATTTTTGGGGCCGATACCGATATTGGGGAGAGAGAAAAAACCTGATACCGTTATATCGCCGATATCTCTCTTACATCTATAAATCTGTAGAGATAGATAGATATAAATGTACACATTGATCGTGCTGATCCCTTAAATTCAGTTATCAAACACTTGTTGAAAATACATATAACGCAGACAATATTGTTACAGAAAAGTAACTGCGCACGTACGTGCATCACCGTTCGATACTCTGGAGAGTGATGGTGCTTGTTATAATCCACAGTGAATAAATCTGGTAATATCTGCGTCTATCTGCGATAAAATTAGCCGGTACGATAGTCACTGGATAAGCTTATATCGGCCGGGACTCTAGTTCTAATAATGCCAAAAAGCTTTTACAAAAATATTAACAGGAAAAGCTGAACACTTTTCAGAACCAATGGATTGTCAACTCATTACATTGCATTTAAAACTGGTCACAATAATTCTGACATTACGTTGTACAATAAACACTGTCCTCAGGAGAAGTATAAACAGTTTTCTATCATTTAAGTCCCTCTTATTTCAAATCAGAAACCTGCCGACTGGAAATTTAACCCAGACACAAGTTGTTGGATTGTTTTACACAACACAGGTAAACAAAAAATGTTGGTGCCCCTTTGTGAGAACACTGAAATAAGTAGAATCCCAATGTACTCTTGATCAAATATACATAGTGAAACTTCTGCTCAACCCAGTTTGTTTGCATGTAGGTCTGTTCTGTGTCGCAGTGTCTACACTTTTGTTGCAGTGTTTAATCAGAAAGAGAATCGCTTAAATTGGCGGACACAGCAGAAATAATGTGCAGTGCCTGAGCTACATGCATGTGCTTATGTTTAAGTGTCGCACTAACACAACATTAGGAATGGTAGTGAAGCATGGTGAGGTCATAAATAACAGCAATGAGGTGTCCAGACTGTCGGAGGGCTGAAACTATGTCAGCATGTCCACTGGTTACTCCCCGTAATGCCAATAAAAGGCTGTAGTGGTGGACTGGGGGAGCACGCTCATGCGTAAATGTGTGAATGGGTCTCTCCATGCTCCAGTCTGACTGCAAATCTGTCCTCGGGTGAGTTCCCCTAGATGGGTGCATGAAAGTCAGGGGTGTGACGATCACGCCTTGAATGCTCGAGGGAGCACACTACTACAGTTAGGAGCAAATAGGCTGCAAGGATGGAGTTCCAATGAGCTGTTATTTCCCACAAAGTATGAACACCCAATAAACATGTATACATACACAAAAGCAAAAACACGTGCTCTGAAAAGCCTCTAAGAAAGCTGTAGTTCTGCTTATTGTGTCTGTTGAAGCAGTGGGTATGAAACGATTTGAATCCTTCTGAATTATTCACAGATGTCTGAGGGAGAAGAAGTGTTCCAAGGGAAAATATTGAATGTGATACGCATTTACAGTATGCACCAAGCCAGACAAGTGCACATCCATGGACAAAAATACAGCTCCACACACACATACTGACACACACAGTCACACATAGCCAGGCAGAAATCAGACAGAATTTAAAATGAACCAGTAGCCAAAGAGTCTTAAACTCCCATTGGTCTTCTTTTTCCTAAATACACTATCTAGTCTGTACTAAAATAACTTTTAATTGGTGCTCCCCAAATGTAGACTCCCTAAATGAGTCATTATTTTTACACACGTCTATGCTCTTTAAAGCGCTTGCAGTATAAGCCTCTTTTCCATGTGGGTAGGGCTTGAATAAGAAAATTTTAAAAAAGGTTGCACACTTCATTTTCTGCATCATCCTCCCTGATCGACACTGATTTCTGCAGAGCTCCATCATTTGCAGCATCCATGAATGATGCTTCATTTGCATAGCGGGCTGTGCCAAAATCTGTGTCAGTGTGAGCCAGCTCTCAGAGGAGGAAACGGCAGCGTTTTGAATTTGAATCAGCGGATGTTTGAAAATCAGCAGACAGCCACTATCTCAACAGAGACAGACCGGGATGAAGAGGCCGTATCAAACGCGGTGCGGAAATGTGTGTGACACCAGCAATCAATGCACAGAACGGTGTGTGTGTCGAGCGAAGAGGAAGAGAGGAGACGGCAGAAGGCTCATGTGGAGCGAGAATAAAAAAATGGAAGAAAGAGCCGGAAAAAGGGTTGAAAGAATATTTTGCCACTGTTCAACCGGAGATGTGATGGTTTGAGTAGCTCTCAGGCCAAAATGTCTCTCTTTCTTAGACTCTGCATGAACACACACACACACACACACACACACACACACACACACTTTGTCATTCCCTTCACAATCAGGAAGTTGTTACTCTGAATGAACAAAATATCTGTCAATCAAATCGTTTTTGGCCACAGTCATCCACGCACTAATCGTCTTACACATGGAAGTGTTTCCACGCTTCATTAACTAAAAGCCCAGTGTATCGATCGTCTTAAAGTCTTGATGTGTGTGTGGGAGTGAGTTATGAAAGCAGACAGCCACACTTTGTCCAAATGAGTGACCAGGTGTGAACTCAACTAAGTACGTGTTTTCTTGACTAGCAAGATTGATTAACTCTGGAAATCAATTCCATTTATCACAGTAATGGGAGTCAGCTTGAGCAGTCTGGTTGTGGTGCAGCCAGAGTAGTGTGGAAGTACTTTTTGAACACCAGCAGCTAAAATCTGAGCGAGAAGGGAAGACTCTGTAAACAAATGCATTTCCCTTTTGAGATTATTGCCCTTCATGAAGGTCCGTTTTATTCACAGTGAAATAAACGCTCAGTGCTTTTATTTGTTTTTTATTGTTCTTACTTTGACGCCGTGTCCCACGTCATCCAGCAGTGTGTAGTCGATGGGCTTTCGGATGTAGCGCACAGGTCGCTCCATGTTGCCAGGGGCGATGATCTTGTGAGTGCGGGCGGTGTTCTTATTTGTTGTCAGGATGCCGATCTCTCGACGAGCCACTTTCTCCTTGTGAATATCCACAGTCTGCAGGAGAGAGAAATGCAGGATGGGTACTTCAGTACAACAACAACAAATGTTGGGACGGCCTGGCTCATGTTTACCATTCTGTTGAATTACCTCTTCTTTTAACAAACACTCTGTAGGACACTGTTTAGGGAACTGAGGAGAATAATTTCTCTCATTTGAAACGTTTACCATTCTTGCCTTGATGTAGGATTTTCAGCTGTTTTTCATATTTTACGTTTCATAGTGCCCCAAACTTTTTCAATCGGTAGCAAGTCCTGTTTCTAACATGATGCCATGTTAAGCTCATTAACTATGAGATGTTCCATCAGGTGCTTTTTAAATCATTCACAACTTTTCCATTCTTTTGTTGCCTCTGTCCCATCTTTTTTTTGAGGATGGCATCAATGGAAACAGGTTTCTAATTTTTTTACGACATGATTTCCCAATTTCAATTTGTGACATTTTGTCGGCTTTCAATAAAACATTAGATTTCAAAGTTTTTAAATCATCACATTCTTCTTTTATTTAAATTTGAATAGTGTCCCAATGTTTTAGGAACTCGGGTCAAAATGAGCACGGACATTATTGTTGACTTATTGTTCCACACATTTAGATTGAACTTGACCATTTTAGCTCGTGTTTATAGCAATCAGTAACAGCACCCAACACATGTATAATTCACACCATTTATTTCATTTTAACTCCTCAAAAGAAGTTTGGAAACAATATTTTGGTCAATTATTTCGCCCCTTAAATAATACTAATTGGTGTTGTATTTTATATCGTTGGAAAGCCTGATTAGTCACCTTTACAACGAGGTATAACTTGTAAGGATCGTGCATTCGTGGAATGAGCAACACAGCTAAACGTGTGGATAGCGCCCTAAAAAAATGTGCCAAAATCCCCTGCAATGTTCTTCTGTTGGTATTCACTCCTGTTTTAAAGTTGCTTGGTGGAATGGATGATTGCACTCTCCCACAGTAACACGTTTTTTTTACACTTTATTCATTTTACACTGTCAGGGACCTCAGTAGCGTGTGGAAGATCCATACACAGCCACAACAGCTTGGCCCCTCCTCCTCATGCTGGTCACCATCCTGGTCACATTTCAGAATGGGATGGCATCCCACTCCTCAACCAGGGGTCGTTGAAGGTCAACCAGCGTGGTTGTGTTGGTCACTCTGGCATGAACAGCATGCCCAAGATGATCCCACAAGTGCTGTCAATTAGGTGCCAATCAGGTGTCAGTCATACACCTGTAACTGACACACACATGGCAGGAGTGAATACCAACAGAAGAACATTGCAGGGGATTTTGGCACATTTTCTAAGAGTGCTACCCACACGTTTAGCTGTGTTGCACATTCCATGAATGCACTATCCTTACAAGTTACACCTCGTTGTAAAGGTGACTAATCAGGATTTCCAACGATATAAAATACAACACCAATTAGTATTATTATAGGGGCGAAATAAGTGACCGAAATAACGTTTCCAAACTTTTTTTGAGGAGTTTATTTCAAACATATTAAATCAAATAATACAATATAAAAGGCATCAACAAGACTAGAAACATCATACTTCATGAAAAGACTCCATGTATAACTGATCTATGTCAGGAAGTGAAAAACTAGTCCTACCCTTTTTTTTTTTTTATCTTTATCAAATCAATGTAGACAAAGACGGAGCCTACAGACGGAGTATACAGATTACTAACAAAGCAACAAAAATGTAACAACAAACTGAAATCATGTTTTTCAGTAAATTCCAGTCTGATTTCTTTATACTCAGTCTGAGCTGAACTTCTACTGACCCATTATTCTGCTCTACTGGCCTACACCCTCGGGCCCATTTGACAGAGCCTCGCTTTAACCCCTCACACCAGTACTGATTGAAAACAGCGGTGACCTCCATCTCCACTGCAATTACAGTCATCATGGCTCACAGCACCCATTCACAGCAGGCTCCTTATGCACTGTCCTTCAGTTTATGAATGATAGATGACACTGGCAGGAGAGAGGGATGAAGAGAGGGAGAGCTCAACCTAATAATGTGGAGGAATATGGGTTAGGGCTTCAGTTCAGGAGTATGAGCTCACACTGGGGAGAAGAAAGCTGAAGAGTGTGGGTGTTATTAAGACATGTGTGAGACATATATAAACACATGTATCTCTGCCTGAATCAGTGCATGCTAGATTATAAAAGAGACTTTTCTGAAATGAAAATTGCAGCATTTAAGTATGCGTGTATGCGTGGATGCTGGTATACGTGAGCGGGTGTCCTGTAAGTAGGTGAAGCGTGTATGTGTGTGTGTGCACAACAACGGGGTCACACATCAATCACCATTCAGACATCTCATGCAGTCAACCCGACAGCTCCTTGCAGTAATCTCTCTCTGGGTATTTGAGGTGAAAACCCACAGACTGACAGGTTGTGTGATGTTGACCTGTGAAATGCTGCTCGCCTCCGATAAATTCTGCGTCTAACCTGTAGCCTAAATCCTGTATGTGAGATATTTATAGAGAACATGCTGGGCTCTTTTTTTCTTTTTTTCGAAAAGGAAACTTAAGTGACACACCCAACTTCAGCTGGGAAGTAAGAAATAGAGACACCGCCTATTTCCTGTCAGTGATAGGCGAGCAGAGGTGGAGTGCAGAGTAGAGAAACTGCGAACAACAGAACTCAGAGGCTCAGATGGTTAGAGATGGAGAATATATGGAGAGGAAATGCTGAACTGAAAGCTTATTCTGACATTTCAAATATACAAAAGGGAATAGAGAAGGAAGAAAATCTTGAACGGTATCATAGCTGAAATCATTTTTAGTCTCCAGATTTAAGTTAGAATCGTTTGACCCAGTAGTTAATGTTTTCACAGCCCATCTTGAATCTGTACTTTAAAACCACCAAAGAACCAGCCAGAACCATCTTTAACAAAGTGGTATAACTGAAGCAGCAGTGCAACAAGCCTGGTACTGATCTGCAGCTGATGACTGGACCCTGTCGTCATCATTTCAGCTTTTTTTGTACACTGAAACTGAAGCTATCTGAGAGAAACATCTAGACGTAATAAATGTAAGCTAATCATTGGACGACAGACCTCTGACTGCCCTTCCTGCACACTCGCAATCTCGTTCTCAGTGTAATCTCATTTGTAAACATCTGTCTGTCTGTTCAAACTCTGCTGTGTGCGTTTCAGAGAGCAGATGGAACAGCTGTAGTTTCACAGCTGTATATTTAGTAGTTTCTCCTCAAAACATCTGCACTTTACTGATGATTAGTCCCTGCAGTCAAGTCGAACATTCTTTCTTCACCCTTGTTGAAGTATAATTGGCAAGATGTAACTGTGATGAAGTCTGTGTTGAGATTCAAAGGCGTGCCGGCAGATGTGTGACTTCATACATCAATGATCTCATTGGTTTGGTTTGGCTCATTGCTAGGTAGCAATAACAACTAAGTGGAAATAAACTTTCAGTTTCGAGAGTTCATGTTCACGTGTAACAGTTCTGTGTCTTTATCTTTACACGAAACTTACACTCAGGTATAAAGATGTGATCAATCAGAATGGGGGCATATATGGGTCATTCACGATGACAGGACTCATTTTTGGGGGAAATGTGCAGCTGAATCAGAGGGCAAACTGGCAGACAGCAGGATTTGGGAAATGGAAAAGAGCAGTAAAGAGACTCAAGAGGAGGTTTTAAGTGTTTTTTTGGATCACATCAGAATCCCAAGCAATGGTTGCACTCTTGAACTTAAAGCACACACATGCAGGAGAAATAGTCTGCAACAGCCCTGCTTTGAAAAAGAAAACGCGCTGTTGTTTTCCATTTAGCAACCAGCATTTCATGTATAATTTTGTGACAGCCTCCTCTGCTGCAGGCTTTTTAATCCTGCAGAGATGGGACTTGGATTTGGCAGCAATGTTTGGCTACCTTCTCTCTCTATAATCCCGTTTTAACTCTTTCAAGCCGAGACAATTTACACTGTGTGAGCCAGAAAAATACTTGGCAACAACGAGGTAAGTGAAAATTCAATTTCTTGGACATGTCACTACCAGAATAATCAATTTAGCACTGAGGACATGGTGTACCTGTAGAGATGGATGTAAAAGTGAATTCACTTTTTTTCAGTCCAATCCATCTGTGCCTGATATATCTACTTTGAGAGGACTACTTCACTAACCCTGATGGACGATGATACCCTAGTTAGAGCGAGGAGAAGCACTTAAAATCAGAAATTGGATGAATCATTCCCTGTTATCTCTTTATATGGAAGGAAACCACTCTTATATACTGGAAATTGGTTATCCATTTTTCTTAAATATATTGCACAGAGATATCTTCATGGAAGGCAGTAATATGGATAGTTTTTCATGTGTAACAGGAAGAAAAAAGTGAATACTAATTTCATGATGACTACATCAGTTTTCTTGTTTCTGCTCTGTTTGTAGTACTGAACATATTAGCTTCACTGGTACACTTAGAGTTAACATGGAATTGGCTGTAGTACATGTTAATTTACTTTTTAATCACAGTGCCACATACAGTTGAGTTGTTATCCTTACTTTTCAGTTCAGTTTGTACTGGATTGATATTAAGTGTTCACATCAGTGAGGCTACAGGGAGGGCTGCAGCCAACTATGAATTGTGTAGGTCGAATTAGATCTGGCCTATAATGTGAAGCCTATTCAGCATTGTGTTTTTCAGAGAGTCCTGGCCAAGATAGCAGCATAAAAAGGTGAGTCACCACGTCTATTTGTTTTAGATAGGTGGAGAACTCCACTTATGCTTCATAACCTGATAAAAACCTTACCATTCATGAAAACTGATAGGTCAGATAAGGTTGCTCTTACAGTGCTCCGTGTACAATGTTGCAGCAAGCCGTAAGAAAGACAGATGTTGGACTTTCAAAATCGAATCAACTCATGCTCATCTTGAATGATGTTAGAAAAGGCAACCCTAGTTACAATGTCCTCTGAAGCTACTGTATATGAAGCAGAAATTAAGGGATTAGGGGGAATAAAGCACCAATGACCAGACCCTAAAGATCGATAACAGACTTCAGTGGATCTTCAACAGACTGCACCAAACTGTCCTCCGTCCTGCAGTCTATGGAGTAAAGCTGGAGCTAAATATATGCTAACCAGGCGAAAGAGCTGGCGTCAGGATTTCACTTCATCCCTGACAGGCTTAATGAAACACACAGGGAGGGGACAGTCAGGGACATTCACTGGCTGACAGGAAGCGTGGCCGCATGAAGCGCACAGAGACATAGAGACAGGACTGCTGATTAAGCAAGGGGGGCTGAAGAGGGGCTGTGGAGGTTTGGCAGCTCCAGCATGATCCATGCCCCCCATGCCATATCTGTCTGTAGGGCACATTGACATCAAGACACTGAAACATACCAGCTGGTTTGTTAAAATTAATAGTTTAAATCTTCATTTGACAGTCCTCGTAATTACATGGAGGAGATAAAAACAGCTTGTTACCCTGAACACCCCTACATAGCATACTTTTATTTTCCACAGCACATTATCAATACTGTGACAGAAACTCCTGCTCCACATTAAACACCTCAAAGCAAATGGATTGTGTCCTGTGAGGGACCAGGTTTCTTTTAATTCAAATATCTGTAGAGTTCCTACAGTGGGCAAATTTTCCTACTGGTTGTTAAACTTGTGGCAAAACTGGTGTTACTGATAACATTGGACATGGCACTGTGTTAATATGGGTTCAAGCAAATAGAAAACCATATGCCATGTTTGTTGGTGAGAGCAGAGTGGTAAACTGTCGCTAATTTACAGTAGATAGGAATGCAATTTCAGAGTGCCGGTATACAGTATGTTACAACTTTTTGTTGTCTTCTGAGACACTCAGTGGCACGAAAAACAAACAAACAATACAACCGTTAAAAAAACAAAGTAGCCTGAAGTTTCCCAAATTGCCTGTGTCTTCTCCTGGTGTATTGGAGCTGCCAGCAGTCAGTTGTACATTTTCTTCAAATTCAAGTTTCTGTCGTCTACAGCTCTTTTTCGATTGTGAGTTCCGACACAGTGAAGCTCCGCTCTCATATCTCCTTTGTACGTTTTTATTGAATCCGCAATGGCATGATATTGCCGTACCAGTGTGTGATTTTCATATTGCGCTTTGGTGTTGCAGAAAAATGCGAGACTCAATGCGGTAGCATCACATATGCAGACACTACGCCTTGCCAGCTCTGACATTTTCAAATGATCCCGTCTCACTCCTGTTAACGCCTCTGTTACCACCTCAAAACGATAATCAGCGTTGGACTTTGTCCTCTCATTAACCCTCTGTGATTTTACACTGAAGACAAGACATTACAGGGGTGTAAATATGCCGGGGGTTTGGATCAAAAAGGAAAATGGCTGAGGGAAAAATATTCATTCATTGTTCTTTCACACAGTGAGTTGAAACTGTAACTACAGGGGAATGCAAAGTTTTACTGACAGAAGTTCAGCAGTGATATTCAGACTGCCTTTTAAGCCCCAATATATACACCCCTTTGATCGCCTTCAATCTGAATATCAGGGAGTCCTTATGGGGGGACAAAGTGATCCCCCCTCTGTACTGTCTTCGGAGGTAGAAAGAGAGCCGTTACAGAGGTGACACTGTATCAGTGGAGCCGGTGGGGGAGCGCAGCGTTGTGTATTTGTGCATGTCTGACTGTGTGTGTATGTGGAGCTCCCGCTGTGCCGTGCTTCAATATGAATCGCAGAATCAATATGAACGTAAAAAGACATCATGATGGCTAAGCTTAGTAGGAACATTTTTGTGAAAAAGCAGTCTGAAAAGTTCCACTGAAATAGTTAAGCGAGTGTAAATATTTGGTAAATTAAGTGTTTTTATTAGAGATCAGAAAATTGTGTTGGTACAACATGACCTTGAAATATTTATTAAATGGGAACATTTAGAGTTTGCATTAACTTCAAAATCTCGTAACATAAGACAGTATATTAGTAATGGATGCCTTTTTTTTTTTATATCAGCCTGACCATGTGCCTGTTGCACATTAGCCATTTGTATCTTACAGGTAGGTATGTGGAGTGTACCTGGGAGATGTGGTTGATGGAGGACTCCATGCGACGTAATTGTGACGCCTGGATGTCCAGCAGCTGCAGCACATTGTTAGCTAAGGCATTGATCTGGTAGGCCACACTGGCCAGAGACTGAGTGGTGTAGGCCTTGGTCTCCTCCAGGGCCTTCTTCTTGTCTTGAGCCTGGCAGAGAGAGAGAGAGAGAGAGAGAGAGAGAGAGAGAGAGAGAGAGAGAGAGAGAGAAAGTGAACAAAAAAAAGGTTGGGAAAGAGAAAATACATGTCAGAAAATCAGTGGAAGGAAATGTGGGTGGTAGGAATGGAGAAGTTGGCAGAGGGAAGTAAGGTAAGCTGCAGAACACTCAATAGGAAATGCTGCAGTCTCATTGTTACTCTCCTCCCCGTAGTGTGAGCAGGGAGTGAACTGTATCTGACAGCCACATTCATACTCTACTGTTTCTAAAGCTGTGTAAAGATCTGCAGGCCACTGAACAAGTGTAAATGTTTCTCAGAGGGGAGGACGCTGTGGATTCAGAGCAGCCTGGAATTGGACAACATAACTTCCAAATAGCTAAGATGGACGACAGGGGACAGGTGCATGGTGGGAACTCAGCCCTATGCGCAGGAATGCCAAGACATTTCATAGGATCCCAAATCTCCAACCCGGCTGCGCAAACCATCTGTTTCTGGATGCCTTTAAATAGCGAAGGGACTGAATGAACATATTTATAGTTTGGAAACAAAACAGGGACAATGAGGCTGCACAGAGATCTCTCCAACATGGGACAAATCATTATGGTGGCTTTTTTTTTTTTTTGAGAAATTCCTCATTCAGAATGTCAACATTCACAAATGATCACAAGTGTAAAATCATTTTCTTGCACAAAAATAAATGAGCAAGAAATGCTAACCCATGTAGCTTGTCTTATGCTATGACCTGCAAACGTTCATAGTATGTTATCTAGAATTGTTGCCATTAGACAGTACATCACATTTAAACTAGCCATTCATTTAATTTATTTTGATCCGTTTCGCAGATGATTGGCCGATCACTTAAGCAATATTTGTCTCAAATCTCACGTCAGAGGATGGTTTAACTGACAAAAAACCCCTTATGGAGGGAGATTAAGATGTCCCACAATATGTTTGGTCACTGAATCCCTCACAATTGTAAATGGTATAACTGCAGCTGTTCTGTGAATTTAACACTTTAAAAATGTGAAGGCTCATCTGGATAGTGTTATGCATGAGAAAAGTATTTGTATCAAAAACTTAAACGTTTGGCTGTGTTGTCTTGCCACGGATATACAGCAAATATTTAGTTTAGGGAGTAAAAAATATTCTCTTACCAGCCCCGAGTTTAATGAGTTTAATATAAATTATATGACGAATACCAAGCATGGCTAAGCAAACCAAAAAAGAAAAAAAAAAGCAGAAGTGGGATACTGTTACCTCCAATGTCAGAAATATGGCTCATTATGTTATGTGCCTAATTACGCTGCCTGACATCCTGCTTCAGCATTAATGCCAAGCTAAGTTTATCATCTTGGTTTTTGCTTTAAACTTGTGGCACAGATATGACGATGGTATCAATATTCCCAACCTCAGACAAACAATGCTTTTAAAAATGTGAAACTGTTCCTATCAAAGAGCTCACAGCCATTGAGTTGAATCTGCTGAATCTGAAGCCGTTCGTCACCATACTTTTTGTGCCTTTTTAGTTTCAAAGCGCTAATCCAGTATCTCATAGATTATGTGGGGGCAACAAAGACTTCAGCTACAATTTAACAGAACAAAACTAATGTGGTAGGTGTGAGTGGTAGCAGGAGGCTAACAGCCAGCAGACCATTACAACAGGACCACCTGCCCACCTGCTACTCTGCAAACCACCTGCAGCTCCATTATCTGACGCAGATGTCTGGTGAGTGAGGGCTTCAGGCCGGGTCGACCCGTGTGGACCTTAGACTGCCAGTTTGTCAAACATGGAGTCAGACGCAAAGAACTGCTGGCTAACTAAGCAAAAGAGACAGGCAGCCATACCTTAACTTTGAAAAGGAATGGCCGTCACATTTGACTATTTTCATTAGTCACTGTTACAGCTGTATGTTTCCCTGTGCTGTTTGCCTCTTCAGCTCTTCCCCGGTGAAGCTACTGATTTTCACATTGAGGTGCACCTGGTCAATGCTACAAAGACAGTGCTAAATTCTGGAGGAGAGAGGCTTCTGATGTTGGGACTGCTGTGTCTCTCAGTCAGGGATTGTGTGTTGTCTTGTTGAGTTAGTCTTTGAGTTCATCATGATTTAGTTGTTTGTCTATTAGTAATAAAGCCCTTGGTTTTATGTTCTTTATTGGGTGAAATTGTGGGTTGTTGTAAGGCCCATAGGGTCACCTTATAGTGGGGCGTAACGTCATGAACACACAAAGATGTAATGAACCCAGTGTTTCCCCTAGGTTTACAGCATTGGGGGGGGGGGGGAGAGACAAGCCGACACAGCGACACGACGACACAAACACTTGAAGGAATCTTGGTGTTCATGTGTTACTTTTAATGACAGCTGTCCTGTTCTATCGGAAAGGTATCCTTAAATGACTTCTTTCCCTGATTTCCGACTCTATCCACTATCATATCCCTAGAATAAAGGCACAAAAAGCCCAAAAATAAATCTGGGGGCCGCCCCCCAATATAATGGTAGGGGAAACACTGGAACCATAGACAATAACAAAAAGACATACTGCATAGACACAGTGTAATCTCTTAACAGCCCAATGCATAAATGAGAGTTAAAAACCTGTGAACTGAGATTTAAACAGAAGTTAAAGTTTAAGTTTCAATAGAATTCAACTTAGTCCAAAAAGTCTGAAATAATCCTGCACAGGCGGACTACATTTCCCTACATGGATCTCTCCTACTCATTCTCTCCTGCTTTGAGATATCATGGTTAATAGCAAACCTACAAAAGCTAATCTTAAAGAAGACATTTCTGAGATCATGTCACACTGAGCCCCAGGTCTGGTAGTGAAATATTATGAGCCTCATGAGTCATGAATGAAGCGGCCATCAGTCAGAGAGGTATCATGTGAGTTACCAGGGGGGATTTTGGTGGGTCAACGGGAAGTTGATTCATGGGATTTCTTCTAACATCTCTGACTACACATATTGAACGATAGAGAAGCTGCATCTCTTAATTTTAGGGTAAACATTACAAATTCAGAAAACAATTAAGCAGTTAGGAACTTAAACTTTGATACTAGTAAATATTAAATCATATATAAACCCATTTTCAATACAAGGCAACAAATATTGGGTATGTCTTGTTTTTTTATTACCAGAAAATGCAGGCAAACTCTTGAACACTGTCTAAGTTGCACAAATATGTTGGCAACGATTCAATATGGAAATCTGACTTTCGATGTTTTGTAGAACTATCAATCATTAAATGAACAGAGATTGTATTGTTTAAAAAAAGGTTTCTAAAATGATTGAGTTTTGACAACCATACATACAACAACACAACCAGTAAGAGTGCCTTAAATCTGAGAGTAGGCACAAAGCCTGATATTTTGCACTTGGTCTACAATAGAGGTGACTGGTTCATATGGCCTGAAGACTGACTGTATAGGATAGTTTGTGTGAGGTATCCGTGGCTTTTTGTGGTGCTTTCATCTTACTCTCTTATAAATGTTGCTTGAAGGTTTCAGATCCAGCTCGATGATTTTGCTGCTCATTCTTGTGATCTTGTTTAGATGATACTTATTTGAAGCATTAAACCACAAGACAGTGAAATAAGCTAATGGATTCAATATAGCAACAGTATAAAGATAGTAAAACTGGCTGGTGGACCTGAAGTTTAAGTAGTTATTAAAAATAACAGGTGTTACTGACATCTGAAAAAATGGCTTCTTGTGCAAAATGGTCAGTTAGAAAAAAAACTACCATAGGACATAGTCATTGGTCGTGGTTTAGATATGCAAACCCCACACTGGATCAAAATGTAGACCAGTGCTCATGTTAAGATCTCACATTGACAGCAAATGTCCCTTTGTATCTCAAAAGCAGCATCACGTTCATTTTTCAACATCACAAAAGATATCACCCAAAGACATGCTATTTTAGTACACAAAGGCCCAAAGAAAGGTGCCAACAAAGCGTCTTTTATGCAACGTATCATTGTGTAGGTGACGTTTTATTCAAATGGCTCATTTCAAATATCTCATCCAAAAATAAAACTATCAATGTTTCCCTCCAGAGTAGATTTAAACATCAGTGCAACATTGCTAGTGTGTTGTATGACAGTTTGCTGTTCAGCTGATAGTGTGAATACAAAAACTGAATTACTAAATGATATCCCCACAGGATTATGATGATCTGTCACATCTACACTACCAGGTATTATTTTAGGTCCAGGCAATATAAGACTAAAGAGATTTTTTTAGGATATAGAGACATATCCTACATCTAATACTACAGTATTACATCTGAATATTAGCTATCTGGCCTCCTGCTCAGCCTCCTTACTGTTTATTTCCTGTTGTGCTAGGAAAACGTGTGCATGCAGCTAATGTTTTTAATGTCCCTGAAGAAATCATTATTCAAGAGAAGCCGCATGCATCTTCATATTCCAGCCAATATTCCTCACACTGCAGCAGAGATAGGCACAGTACATATCTGAAAACCAGCAGTGAGGGGGATGAAAAGCATCTTACTGTCACTAGTCAAAAATACATTAAGAATGAACAAGAACCCAAAGCATTTGTAAATAATATTCAAAGTAAAATAAGCATCACCTATGCTGATAATTAGATTTCTTCAAAGCAATTAAAGGAGACAAATCTTTCATGACTTCAGATGTTCTGGTCATAGTGCATGGAAGTGCCTATCACAGTGTTTGTCTCCCTCAATCAATGGAAGCAACAATAAAAATAGTTGATGAATAATGTCTCTTATATGAAACACATCATGAAGCTCACAAAGCACTGCTACTAGTACTACTGGTTTCACAACAACAGGGGTTAGTGGGAGAGGTAAGATCAAAACCCACCCAGCAGCAATTTTTCACCCAAACATATTTCTCTCATTATCCACTGCAAACACTCAACAGCTTTGTCTACAAACTACCCACCTTATTTCTTGCTTGTTGCTGTTTGTCACAGCAACAAGTCAACAACAAATCTGTTTGTTTTCTTGACTGACAGTTAAAGGACCAACGATCAGTAAGTCCGATTTAAACTTGTCTCTTCAATTTACAAAACCTCACACATGTGGTGTTACCATCCCTCTATCTTTCACTGTTTGACATCTTTATTGATTTATCAATTCAAACATTTCATCTAAGTTAAATTAAAGACGTTGCTCAGTATTTGAAGCATTTTTAATTAGAGTGAACATTTTGAATAAATTCATGTCCTTGCCTGGTTTTACCCATAAGTTTACAAACTATAGTTTGCCCAAGTAGTTTAAAAACTACTGGGGCAACGTTTGATACCTACTAGAGGTGGGGTAAAAACCGATGCACAGTATCGCAATATTTTTTCGGTGATATTATATCATCTCATGGCCACCAGTATCGATATTTTGATTAAATTAATAGCAAATATTATTTTTTAATTTTTAATTGTTGAAGGGGTTGCACAATTATTTTATAACAAGTTGCATTGTTAAACATTACTGCAGTTGTACAGTTGTCCGTACATGTTTGTGTTCAGTTTGTTCAATTAGGGTGAGGGTTGTGAGGTGCATGCAGCCTTTACAGGGTTCTACTTTTATCATAGTGTTGGTCTGGGGGCTTAACTCATTGTGTAGAAATATAAAGACTGAAGTGAGATGAACGGACTGAGAATGTTCTTTTATTTGAAAAAACAAAATTCTCGATTTAGTTTAATTTTGTGGACATAATATGCAGTTAAAAAAGTTAAATCGCAATATATTGTATCGCAATTCTCTGCATGTCGAAAATGTTTAAAATCGCAATGACATCGAATCGTGACTCAAGTACCGTGATAATATCGTATCGTGGTGCCTCTGCTGGTCCACACCCCTAAAATCTATCTAGTAGTGACATTCAGGGTCAAACTTTTAACCTTGTGTTCATGACTAGATGTGGCTACAAACCTTATAGTTAATGTCAATACTACTATCCAATAATTAACATTTAAAACTCCCCCATGTACAAATCGATAAATCAGTCACCCTGGGGTCAAACTGTCTGGCAATTCAGTTAAGAGGATTAAATTGCACTGAAATTATCTTGAAATAACATCTGGTAAAAGCACAGCTATTAGGCATACAGATTTCAGATGATTTTAAGACAGTTTTCTCCATAGTGATAATGGCTAGAGCACACTACAACACATTTACCATGAAGAGCTGTTTATGCGTGTCAGTAGGCATGCATTCAAACTGTGTAACCTACATTACATTTCTGATGACAACCAGGGCAATGTGATCTGACGCGTAATCACAACGGCACAACTGTGGTCTTTCTCAGCACCACAGTCAAAAAAATTAGAGCACAGTGGGGCTTCTGGTGCGTGGCGATCTGTCAGCAGACACTGTCGTTCACACCAGACCGTTTAACTCAGTGTCGGTCTGCGCTGTCAGCTCACACTCTCACCCACTCTCAACGAACTCCCTCACTGAGGACAAATTACAGGGTGATGATGAGGTTTCTCATGAGTAACTTTAATGGGTGGAAATCCCCTGTTAAGGTGTTAATATTTTATCAGGCAATGGTTCATTGTGATTTTCTCTGAGGAAGACCCCAGTTATTAAATGTTCCTTTTCTCCTGCCCTATCAGATACTAAATTGTGAGACTGAGTTTGACCCATTATCAGTACCAGAAAATATGAAAATATGTATTTTAAAAGCTGAATACTACTGACACAGTCATAACGGAAATAGGACATCGTGTCTAAATCTAGAAATGAAAGATTTTTAAAGATTTGCAGTGGAAGAAGGTTCTTTTTCTCCTGGAATGATAAACTGTGAATGTAGTTCAATATTGTGCTGAATCTTGCTTTTTTTTTAGGCTGTACAGAAGGAATTTTAAATCTTGGGATTTGTAACAAAACCTTTAATGAAGAAAAATCTGCTGTTGGACATTTAAAGAACTGAATAACATTATTCACGTTATTTGGAGATTGAGAGCTAACACACCATTCAAGGAAAAATCACAAAAACACATAGCTGTACACAAGTACAACATGTGTGATCCTCTCAAGTATGCACCAAATTTGGGAAATCAGTGCTTGTGATAAGTGATTTATCATCCTGTCTTTGCAAACTACAATCAGACACACCTTTCATCAGCATGTGTATTTGACTGTAGGCAAATGGTGAATGAACATCCTCCTTGTCAGCACTGTGTTAGTATGCACATCCTATTTGCATCATGAGTAGATTGACCTCACATCTAGAGCCTTACATGACTTGTAATTTCCCTTAGAGCATTTAAGGACATGGCCAATCTAAAATAAATCTCACAGATGAGAGATGATTGGAGTATTTGTTAATAGATCATACAAATGATTAAAACCCTTAGCAAAAGCGTTATAACAGTTCTAGTCTAGTAGCCTAATCATCAGCTTGTCCAGTTAGTTTGTAGTGACTGAGCGTTACCTTGTAGCTTTCCTTTTATTTTTCTTGTCACATAATTTGACCCCCCCCCCCAAAAAAAAGCCTTCTTTTGAGATTTGGATGACCAATTTGGCTTTTTGTACATTTCATTCGCCATTTCTTTCGTTTATAGCACTATTGTGTGATCCTAGTATGTGATTTGCGTCCCTTTAAAATGATCGAATCAATACATCAAATGTGAAAATGTATAAAAATTGTTTTTTTTCATATTCTGTCACATGTACATATCAGAGAATGCAGTCAGTATCAAACCATTGGTCATAACAACGACACACCCTCTGAACCCCCCCCCAACACCACCACCACCCCCAGCAGCTTTCTTCTTATCCAGTGTAGCCTTTTAAATGTGAACGGACTAGTCGAAACAAGAAAACCATGAAACACGGCCACAGAGACACATCTGAATCAAAATACCGGGAGATGAAGGCCACTCCGTGTGGTAGGTAGCGGTTTTAGGTTCCCTTTCGTTACGACCAGCATTTCCTGTCCCTGTGGTTTAACTCACTTCTACTACAACACACCGCAGACACGACGGAGATAACTCACAAATTTACCAAATTTAACGACCTTTAAGCGTCTCTTACCTGGACATAATTGTTTTCACAGTATTCCGCAACCCGGGACAGGTTCTGGTAGCTTTCCACAAGGGCTCTTTTGCCGGCAGGGATTTCCTCCTCTAATAGCATTTGTAGCTCTGCCATCTTACATCCCTTTGCATTTCTCTCCTCTCTCTGTCCTTTTCACTGAGGCGAGGCGCTGATGCTGTGCTGTGTAGCTGAGTGAGGGGCTCCCCCGCCTGGCTTTGTGGGGCTGCTGGTCTCTCGATTCACAACCGTCTGTGACAAATGGCAGCTACGTTATGAACGGAGGCCTGTGATTGGCTGAGAGACTGAGGAAGAAGCGCAGTGGACCAATTATCCATCATCAGCGTGTTGATGACGTTTCAGTCCATAACAGAAAAAAAGGAAAATAAGATAACGATAACGAACAAGAAAGTGTGATTAAAATAATTTAAAATAATAATGGAAATGTCTTTTATACAAAATAAAAATTATGTATATAACTCATGTATATATTCTTTAAACTGGTGGACAAAAAAAAAAGTTAAACCACAAAATGTCACACGGTCTTAAAACGAGTTTCTTTTTTATTTGATATATTTTCTTTATGAATGATTTACATTTATCTGCTTTTATTCATTTCCACTGAAAAATGAATATTTAACCAACAAAAACAAACAAATACAAATTTGTAAAATATGTGTTTAAAAAAAGGCAACAGAAAACGAGCAGATGTATCAGTAAGATTAAGTTAAGTTTATTTTAATTGTAAGCAAATAACTGTTAACATCAAAATGGCATCACATTCCTCACCTTAGTAGCATTCATAAATTGAATAGATTGCCTTAAATATTCAGGGATGGCTTATTTTCAAAATATTTTGTCATCATAATACTAGATACATAATATAAATAAATAAGTCGTTTAAGTATTTGTAATGATGGTAACAAAAAGCAGTATCTAAATAAAATAAAAAAGCCTATTTCAGAAGAAAACTACAAAAAAAAACTTCATTTCCCATGCATCACCGCGGTTTAAATACCCTCTCCGAGGGGTTTCTGGGATTTTAAGGAGCAAAGCGATGAGTCTGAAGCGTCTGATGGTCTAATGAAGCCAACGTTTTACGACTGTTTGGTCGGTAAAAACTACATTTCCCAGATATGTTTAATCATCACCAAATGACTGTTTGCTCATCCTCCACTGGAGTCAGGATTGGCTTGCTGCTGCATATAGCAGACAGGTATCGGCTAATGAAGCAATTATCCCACCGGCAAACGGTAACTTTATGGTGAGTATCTGACAAATCAGCGATAGAAATGATTTATTTCTGTTTCATAATGTATCCTGTTAGCGCCACCCCGAGGGAAATGTATAAACTAAACCTACACAAAAAACATAAAAGCTTAAAGAGGAAACTGTCTGCCTTCATACATTAGAGGCTTTAAGCTTTATTGATGACCAAACACTGTTGACTTATCCCTTGCTGAACACGGCCTGAGCTGTGGATACTGTTTCCATGAATTGTTTCATGTTGTTGTTGAAGATGTGAGGACTCCATCCTGTCATCCTTGTTGGGAGTCAGCATGGCGCACGAGGAGGACAAACACAGCCTCGAGGCGAAATTTGCTGCTGCAGTTAGTGTGATCCGGAGTTTGCCCGAAGAAGGTGACCACTACTATCTATTAAACTTCATTCACATCTATCAATGTTTCAGTTAAGTGTTTGCTTATATGAAGTCAGCTCCTGTTGGTGTGTTTACACTGAGGGGCAGAGTATGAACTCTTGTCTTATTGATTAACTGAAGTCATTTTCTAGCCTAACTTGTGCATCATGTGTATTTAGCTGAATGCTTGTATTGTATGTTTTAATTTGCTTTCTTCATTTCTCAGGTCCTTTCCAGCCGTCTGATGACATGATGCTGATGTTCTATAGTTATTACAAGCAGGCCACCCTGGGGCCCTGCAACATCCCCAGACCAATGGGCTTCTGGGACACTCGAGGCAAAGCTAAATGGTAAACAGTTTTGTGTTAAAGCTAAGGTAAAACGTCAAATCCAGAGTCATGACTATGTCTTGAAATGACCCAGACAAACAGATTATGCGTTTACAATTTACCACTTAACTTTGATAAACTATACTGTTCCCTTTATCGCAAAGTCTCCCCCCAGTAAATTTGAAGTCTGGGTCACAGTCACTTTGCATGCCTGGTATTTCTTATTCAACATATTTCTGCATTATACTGCAGGTACATCTGATGGATATTCCTGCAGTATTACTTAGACTTAGACTTTCTTTATTGTCATTCAAACTTGTACTTTACAGTGCAGATAAGAACAACATTTCGTTGCATTTGGCTCGTTGTAGTTCAGGATAAAAACAGCAGCAAGTATTTACATAGAAAAATAAGGTGCAGATATAAATAGATATAAAAAGAAAAGCTATGTATAAAATTACTATACAGATAAATATATTGCACGTTTGTGATGTATACAGTATAGATTGAGTTGAATGGGGTTTCTGTAATACCTTATCTAACAGTAAGATGTTAACACTTTTACTACTTCATGTTGACTAACAGCTTAGTAATGAACTATGACTTTGTGTTGCCAGGGATGCATGGAGCTCTTTGGGAAATATGACAAAGGAGGAAGCCATGAAGAATTATGTTGAGGACATCCAGCTGGTAGGTCCTTTCAAGAAAGAAAAAAAAAAACATTAATAAAAGCAGCATACAGAATAATATGAAGTTGAAATTGGAGCACACAAATTCATTCAGGTTTTTTTGGGGGGGGGGAATTTGTGTTACACACACAGTAAAATAGCCTATAGAACGTTTTACTTTCTTCACATTATCATGATATCTGTGTCACATTCAGTACACTAGCTCGCTGGTATTAGCATGAAGTTTTGCCAGCATCGAAGAGCTGCTAGCATAACTGTAGACATCTGGCTACATGTATATACTGAAGAAAAAACAACAGTTATTGAGGAAATAATGATTTTTTTCTTTCCTTTTTTAAAATGCACTTTAAATGTTATGTGTTTTTTAGATATTGGAGACTATCCCAATGTCAGAAGAGGTGTCTGACCTGGTGCAAAAGCTTGGCTCCTTCTATGCAGATGTGGATGGAGAGGGAAGAGGAAATGAAGAAAGTGAAGAGAACGAAGTGGACAGGAGACCCTTCACCAGGCCTTTTGCACAGCATGCAGGTAGACTACATGTGTGAATTTCACAGAAGGGTACTTATGGCTCTAGGGGTACTTCTGCTCTTTCCAGGGGGTATGCAGAAAAACGAAGTAATATTTGTATAAAAAAAACACTCGTTCAGCTATAACTGATCAATACTTATTGTGACCATGGAAGAGTATGCAAAAAGCTAAAAGCAAAGTGTTAAGAGGCACCTACAATTATGAAAGGTTCAGGATTAAAAGTTTGCTAAAAAACATAATTATGAAAGTTTAAAATCGCCTACTAATAAAGTTCTAGATAAATAGTTAGCTAGGTGAAAGAGTTAGCTCTTACATTGATTATTGTTGACTGTAGTACTGGATAATTTGTTAAATAACAGCTAAATGTAGTGGAAAATGGTTAAAATAGTTTGGTAGACATAAAGGATTACAGCTTCAGATAGAAAGCTAACAGTTCACATATAAGCTAGATGTTATATATCAACAGTTCATACATTAAGCCTTATGGATGGACGGCTGAAATAGATAGCTAACAGCTGAAAGAATAAGCTCAAAATAACAATTTCAAGCTAATGGATCAAAATGATGCTTAATAGTGTATATTCAAATAAAATACTTATGGATCAGCGGTTCAGAGTATTGGTTAATAGTCTATCTGTCTAGTGGTAAAAATGGCTGAGATAGTTCTCTATATTAATGATAAACACTTAAACTAAATAGCTAACAGTTTAATTATTTAACCAGTTAAAATAACTGATATAAACAATTGATACAAATAGCTAATTAAATCATATTATAAAGGTCGACGTATTAAGCTAAAGTAACAGAAAAAAAATCAAAATAGTTAGCTAATGGTCGAAAAAGTTTGCTAAAAGATCAGAATATATAGTTCAAAAGGTTAGCTAACAGACTGTTGAACTAGTTAGCTAAATAAATGGGTATACTTTTGGAAGAGGGAGCCAACTGATGAAATAGTAAAACACAGGCTAATGTCTAAATGGTTGGAGTAGACCGTAATCTTTTGGAAAAAAGTTAGCTCTAGTACTAGCTAACAGTGGATATATAAGCTAAAGGTTAAAATATGAACCCAACATCAACAGCTTAACAGAACATTTGGCTAACCGTATGGATTAACGGCAAATATCTAAATGGAAAAGGATAAGCAGAGGAAATACTGAGCACAAATAATGTATTGATAATAATGTATTAAGCTAACTGTTCAAAAATTTAGCCACAAGTTAAGAAGCTTAAAATAGTTGACTGAAGTAATGGATTCAAACAGTTCAAAGATTCACCAATGAATCGACTCTGAATATTACACTCATGAAAAAGTAATGTCATAAAATCCACTAGTAAACCTGAAAGGTAGTAAAAGGGGAATCTGAATTCATCTGACAGCCGCTACATGAATCCTCATCAAAGAAATAATGAATAGAGTCTCTGGAGGGCTCTGCTGCTCGTGCTGGATATAGTACTGCTGTTAATCTTCTTAGTCACATTTATGATTCGGATTCGAATACTGAGCCTGTCTTACATGTCTTTTTATCACTAGATGAGCTGATCAGACCCTTTAAGAAACCAACAATGGAAGGCAAGTCTTTTGGTGTTCACAGTAGCTGTAGAGCTTTAATGAGTCCCTCAGTGTTAAAGCTTTGAAACCGTATTAAGTTTCACTTGTGTAGACGGTCATGTGTGTGCTCTAGTTAGTCAGTGTGTTTGCTGTTGGTTTGCCCCTGTATTCGCACTTTGCGGTGTAGCTGTAGTGTTTAGAAGCTGTGAAACGCACATTTTTCTGTTAAACCATACTGTGGGTATGTCTTTGCTCTGTGTAGATTTGCATTGTGCAATGTGAAGGAGTTAATCGAGAGTGTTTCCCTTGCTGCTCAGGCTTTGGGGATCTGTGGGATGATGTTCAAAACCTCCAAGAACATGACAAAGACAACAGTGTTCATGGTGTAAGTGTCAGTAATGAGGAGGCAGGGGGAAGCAATGAAAATAGTGAAATGGAGAGAAGTGAGAAAAGCAGTGATTGGAGGAAAAGTGAGGAGGAGGAGGAGAATGGGGATGAAGAAGACAATACAGATGATGAAGACAAAGAGAAGGATAAAGGTACCATCAGTAGTTGTTGTTAGTTGTTTTGTGCTAAGAAATTTGCTGTGTTGTAGAGATTAAACACTTATAGTTATATAATTATTTACATGTCAATGGACCCAAGTGTTGCAATGAATGACATATTTCCTCTTTACTACAAGACAGACAGTAGTATATTGAGAGTCTGTGCTACAAAAAAGCTGCTATAAATAGGCTCCAGTGTGCCAACTGTGTATAAATAAGCTACTTAAAATAGTCCCAAACAAATGAAGAATTGATTCCACGTTGATAGGAAGAAACATGGTCTTTTTAAAATGAATTTTCATCACATGACCGTTTTTGACCTGAAACACACACAAAGAAAAGCCTGGAACAGATGACAATTTTCTCTGTCATCTTTTTTTCCGCTCGCTCTCTTTTCTCTGTCTCTCTTTTTCTCACTCTCTCTCTTCCTTGTTGTATTGGCTCCAAGGCTGGAGTCCTGACCCGAGGCTGCTGATGGTGGAAGACAAGAGGGGGAGGTCTGACACCAGGGGGTCAAGCAGCAGCATGGAACCCAGCATGTCCTCCTTCACCAACGGGACACACAGCTCCCTCAACAGCGAGGTGGAGGAGGAGGAGCTGGCCTGCTCTGTGGAGTCCAGCGTGCAATATAACCCGTATATGACCTTTAATGGACACCTGAGTGGTAAGAGAACACCTACATGCAACAAAAAAAGTTTGTATGATTGGAAAACACTACCTGTACCTGTTCTGACATTGCATACTTCAAAATACTACTGGATCACATTACATGAAAACATGAACCAATATTAACATATTTTTTCCTGTTCCAAGTTTATACGGCACATTTTTAAGCAAGCACTTGACATTTTATAATACAGCCAATACTAAGCAACATTAGTATAGATTTAGAGTCATGTTTTTACCCATGTGGCAAGTGTTAGTTACATATCAACTATCTTCTTAGCTTTCTTTTAGTCTCCACTAACTTCTGAGGCAGAAACCCATCACTCTTTCTGGTTATTGCTTTGGTATGTTTAGTTAGTATCTGCAAGCTTTATTCTTCGTTATTTGGTGCCTGGAAGAAAGTGATGTGTGTTTGTTTTTAGATTGCAAAGACAATGATATTGGAACAGAAACACTGACCTGAAATAGTAGGTTTGTGGGTAAAAAAACTAAATCAATGTCCTGAAAGCACTAAAACGCTTCATAAAGCTGATCCAGTGAGGCGTTGGATGATGCCATTCTGTCTGTCAACACTTTGAGCAACCCTCTTCATATACTTTCGTTTGAGCCTTTCTTTCTCAGAACATCAGAACATTTTTAGTATTGAAAATTATTCTCTAAAATGCTAAATGTAGATGTAAATACAAAGGCCCAAAAAAATGGGTAGCAAGAAGTTGTTAAGAAAATGTATCACATATGTAGTTTATGTGTTCTCTGTTCATGATGGTTCGCTTTGTTTTTCACTTCTTAGGTCGTAGTGATGTTGTCCCTGAGAAGAACTTCCGCCGATCCACAGACTCGGATAATGAGGAATTCTGCGACTCAATGGAGCATCTGGCCATGGACGAGGTGTGGTTTACCTCTTCCAGAGCGAACACCACACCAAAACAATCATTCTGAAGTCTTAGGAAAAATACTGATTCACTTTCAATCTAAGAGCTTAATGACAAGATCCACTCCACCGTCATGTTTACACGCTAACTCTGCAGCCAGCTACAGTCAGGAGACAGTTAGAGATCTACCAGCACTCTAAAACGACACAAGACTTCAAATGATTGATCAAGGAAGAAAACAGCACAACAAAACCCTGTGAAAGAAAAATGTTAATGCACTGTTGTACAGACTTTGTACTAAACTACCATAGAGGTTTAGTGCTGTAAAGGTGCATGTAGGTGTAGTTTTGAACTGTAGACTAGTTGATCTCCTGCTCCTAGAGTTGAGCAGAACTTAACTGATTCCTAGTTTTAGAATAGTTTAATGAAGAGTGCTATCGATTCTCTCAGTCCTGGGAATATGAATCCAAATTGTATAATTCCCAATATGTCTCTCCCTTTGAATCATGTCAGGTGGATACAGAAACTCACAAGTAAAACACAAATGGAATTGTTCTCACCTAATTAAAACTGCTGTTGACTTTCTCCTCCATCTGCCAAGGGACTGTGTTCGTCTAAAGCTCTGACACCTGGATCAAGAGTTGCCTCAGTGAGGCAAAAGGATCTTTGGTTTGAGAGCAACACTACTCTGAATGGAGAAGAGGATCAGATACTCATGGGAGATCTCTACTTTAAAGATGGGATTAGTACAATTCAACGCAACAGCTCTCTTTCAAGAAGAGGGAGAGGTGAGAGTGCAGTCATCACCTTTTGATTTAAACTGACACGGTGTCCTTAAATTACCTTTCCTCTAAGAAGCACACTTAGTTTACCCTCCTAAGTATTAAAAGGCACCAGATGTTTTTGAGACAAGTTACATGTTGTAAGCACTTAGCTTTCACATTCTGATTTAGTTTCAGGTGTTCAGTCACCGAGGGCAACCTGCAGCTCTCAGCGGTGTGTCAGTGTAGATGCTGCCCGCTGTTGTGTGTCACAGAGCAGACATGCTGCGAGGGCTGCCAGGGGAAACGTCAATGAGCAAATAGCTACAGCTCTGCTCAGGCTGCAGCACGATATGGCTGCTGTGCTGCACAGGCTGCGTGCGCTGGAGGTGCTAACTGTGTCACAGGTAAGAGACATGAGTGTTTACCATGTTGTGTACACTATGATGATAGAGAGATTGTTATAACTGTTTTTTTGGCACTTTCTTATCGGTGCAAAAGACCTAAATATCACTCTGAAAATCTCTCTTATCGTGTATTTACTTATATATTTTTTTTATTTTTGAAAAAACAAATTACAGTCAAGAAAATCTTCACCAAGACAGGAGGACCCTCTTACAGTAGCACAAAAGGTCATTTTCATTTTCTTTAATTGATGTTATATGTTTGTAATCAGGAAAACAGAAGTGTCATTTAAATGTTTATGTCTTTATAGTTTATGAGACCTTCCTGGTGGCCCTTTGACTTCTGTCCACTCACCGTGGTGTTGACGGCACTCTGGCCTTTGATTTCCCATTGGCTTGTCCAGCTGTATTTACAACGAAGGAGAAGGTAAGGAAACTATGGCAACTTATTATCAGTTTTTTGTCTTTGTTTAAAGCAATACTTGGAATACTTAACCTCTATTTCTGCTCTTCTCTTTACAGGAAGATAACTTGAATAACCTGAAATCCATCAGCAAAGAACATGAACCTGAGATGAAAATGTTGCACTTTGGTTGCTTTATGGCTTTTTTAAGCCATAATCAATATCAGTCGGGGTGTAATGAGGCCCTGATAGAAGTGGAAAAAGTTATCCTAGACACATAGATGGTCAGGAAGCTGTTTAAAGAGAGTTTCTGCTGTAAAGTGTAGCATTTTGACAAAAGTGCACTATTTAGATGTTTTAGAATGACAAGATTCATGCTAGCACAATTTCTTTGTTACAGTTAACTTATAGAATTAGGCGGTGATCTTATTTATGAAATGTGTCACTGATCAATAGATATTCAACATAAAGATAATTATAATAACATAAGTTGTTTAACATAACCAACCGTTGTTATTGCCAGTTATTTTATTTATTGTACATTTTATTTTTAATTATGTTTTCTTTACTGTTTTTGTCAACGTATTTTCTTGCAACTAGAAATCAGCACCTTTTCTATTTATTGTCTGATATCTAGAAAGATGTTAGCAGCTTTAATTTAAATTTATATACATGGAAAAAATATGGTATTGTATGTTTGAAAGTGTTTTTTTTTATGACTGCAGTGCAATAATAGCAAAGATATCACTTTCACTTTTCAAAAAGTACTGGACAATTTTATTATTTATCCTTTTGTCTTTTTAGCTGTTTAGTGAATTGAAAAAAGTATCTCTTCCATGTACTATATCATGCTTTCAGACCTACAAATGTAAAAAAAAAAAAAAAAACATTCATGAAGAAAACTTTGACATGCAATAAACACGTTCTCAAAGTCAAGACTTTGTTTCTTTGTTTTTCCTGATCACAAAGAAGTGGTAAAATTATGGCGGTAGTATGGTATTCATCACATTTTGTTAAATTAAGAGAAAAAGAAGTAGTTACACACACATCACGTATAGGTGCAGGGCAGTGCAAAAATAGCAAAACTGAGAAAGAAGATAGACTTTCTTCAATTGACGCAAAAAAAGGTTTTTATTGATCACTACGTTTCGAACAGAGGTCTTCTTCAGGTGATATTTTTTAAACACAGGAGGGGGCCACACCCATATACTATATACACATTTATACACCAATAGGATGAGAGGTACTAATGGTAAGTTGTGGTCACATATTCAAATTTTCACAAAAGTCCCAAAGTGAAACACATTTTTGTGATCACCGGATATATAGATAGATATAACCCCAGGAATACATACAAGATAAACATACATACTGTACATAGTAATACAGAATATGTTGTATAGAAAACATGGACCGCAACAAAGACACATTTGATGTGTGTTTTTGATATATCTTTGTTGCGGTCCATGTTTTCTATACAATGTTTGAAAATTTGTTGTGAAGGACAAGTAGGCCTACATGTCTAAAGAAAAACTATCTGTCCAACGTCATGTTATTTGTACACAAGTTAGAATCACAATTGACTAGAATTTTAAAATTGTTTTTTTTTTTTAAAGTAGAGTTTCACAGAAAGGGCGAACATGAATGATAGAGTTTGGTTGCGGGCAAAAGCGAAATGTAAAAAGTATAGAACGGAAATCTGGCTCGAAAATGTGTATTTAAATTGTACTTCACTTCCTGTTAGCCATGTGTAGTTCACAAAATATGACGTCACCTGATTTGACGCCAGGGATTTGTCGGTTCTACTAGAGGGGCGTTTCTCCTTGTCTGCCATTGGACGCAAGGTTAAATCTCCCCCGCATGATTGGCCAGGAGAGTCGCTACGCTATTGGCTCACTTCACGCTCTGACAATTTGAAAATCAGTGATCGTGTATCAGCTGCACTGAGAAGGAAAACAGACAGAGATTAGGACGTAATTTGTTCGAAATAAAAGGTAAAAGTTGACGTCATTTCATGTTAATTATACTTCGAACTTGCGGGTTTTAAAGTCGTTACAGACTTCAGGATATTTCAGCGACATCACGATGTTTAAGGCTTGATTGAATGAAGTCCAGCTGCGGAGCTTTGTTTCAATTCTAAAGCCGGTGTTGTCTTCCTTTTTATGCATTTTCGCCCTTCAGCTCTCTAACCAGGCCTTAATCAAAATACTGATCGCCGACAAATGTTTACAATTCTATTCAGCAGAAGTTGCCACAATGGAGGACGAAGCTCAGCTGCAGTGCTGTGTGACGATGGAGCAGCTGAACACCTCCGGTCAGGCCACCCGGAGGCAGGTCATGCGTAAGCCTCAGTTATTTAGGCCGGAATGAGTTCCAGGAGATCATCCTCCGGGTCCACGACGGGAAAGTCCCCCAGAGCTATCGTCTCCGAGAGTTCAAACTGTTCACAAAGTTTGTCAGAGAAGGGAAGTGCACGATCAAACTGCTCCCTGAAAATATCCAGGTGCTGATGTCGAACTGTCCACCGGACAAGCTTAACCTTTTCCTGAAAACCCTGAGCATCAAACATCAGGCCTGGATGGCCAGCAAGCCTCTGAGCGACAGAGAGAAGCTCAAAGCTGGTCTGCCTCGCAGCTTTGAGGCCATCAGCCCCCTGCAGCAGAAAGACATCCAGAAGGTCAACGAGCTGAGGAGTAAAGCAGCTCCTAAAGGCCTCACTGACTGTACCAATAAGACCACTGTGGGGAGGACTGGACAGCAGGTCAAAAGGTCGAGGTGTGACACTAACTTCAGCCCAGTGAGTTGAACACGCACTAAACAGCATGTACATCACATGCCTTCTTTCTTTGATTACAATTGTGTCTTACAGACTGTGTGTTGATTGTTTCAGGTCAAGTCCAACCCAAGTAAGAAGCCCATCCTTGCTCTGCCGACACGTAAGCTAAATAAGGAACAGGCGGCTGTCCTCAGTGCTGTACTGAGTGGAAAGAACGTTTTCTTCACTGGAAGCGCTGGTGGGTTTGTGACATAAATACATTCACATTTTAAGTCTGGAATAACCAGATGCCCTAAACAAGTTGCTCTTGCTTATCTTATTTTCTCCACACATTGTTTTACTGAAAATCCTTCCTACTTTTACTTGACATGTCAATATGAATCTAGTTAATTATATTTCTTGAAATACATTTATAATCGTACTTTAGCTGAACTTCAAAAACCTGTCGATTATTAGACCTGTCCGCTTTCCTTTGGTTTCTGTGTAAGGCACTTTGTGATGTGGATTTTGAGAAGTGCTCCATACATAAATATATCAATAATTGTGGTTGCTATCTTTTTCAACATTTTTTCGATCAATCCTTCTGACTTTCTTTTAATGTCAATGGTGATTTTTCCTCGGTTGATAAACAGAATATAGCTGCGGGTAGTTGTTTGTTCTAAGCTCTTGATGTGTTTTCTAGGCACAGGGAAGTCCTTCCTGCTGAAGAGGATCATGGGATCTCTACCTCCAAAGAGCACTTTTGCAACAGCCAGCACAGGAGTGGCTGCTTGTCACATCGGTGGAACAACTTTACACAACTTTGCTGGTCAGTTGTTACGGATATCTGAGGGGGAGGTACAGGGGATTTGATGTAATCTTGACACAAATAAACCCCAGGAGATGACACGGAATCAGGGGTAGGAGATGAAAAATTATCTGAATAATTGGTCGACTGCCAATTCCACATAAAAGCTTTTCCTGAAATGAGACTGTGCTAGAGACAGCCTGCTGAAAAACTGCCACTTGTTACTGATTAGTATATCAATTATTTCACCAGCAATAACTCTTTATTTTATATATATATATATTTATATATATATATATATATATATATATATGAGAGTAATCTACAATGAAGCAGAGACCATGGGGGCATCTGCAAGCAGCTGGTTTTATTTGAACAACAGAATCCTATTAACCCACATTAATTAAATATAGATAAAATGATATGTTGTCATAGGTACTTGTTGAGACTTTAGCTCTCTAACAATGTCTATGTAAAGACTTATTTTTGACTCTTTGACATCATACCAGAGAAAGTGTCAAAATGTCTTTTTAGATGACAGAATGTTTTTATATCTACAGTGTGTCTGGAATTAATTGTTACACGAATGTTATCATTTGTGTCTCCTCTGACAATCTGTGTCTCCCTACCTTGTGTGTGTGTGTGTCTGTGTGTGTGTCTGTGTGTGTGCTCCTCAGGTATTGGCTCCGGCTCAGCCCCTCTGGAGCAGTGCATCGAGCTGGCTCAGAGGCCCGGCGTGCTGCAGCACTGGACCACGTGTCGACACCTCATCATCGATGAGATCTCCATGGTGGAGGCCCAGTTCTTCGACAAGCTTGAGTCAGTGGCCAGGTGAGATGAGAGCAAAACTTCAAATCAAACTAGAGCAACATTGAAAGTATTATGGCGTCCTCCCACCTTTAATCCAAAAGTCTCAATCAGTGCATACTTTCCACTGGATGATGAGAATTTGATCTTTTCACAAATCATGAAATACATGTGATTCCTGTGGCCTACTTCAAGCTCTTGATGACTGAATAAAAGCTCTTCAGGCAGCTGGACACCATTTTATACCTCATGCTTTGATAGTGTTCGAAAGATATGACTGTTTGCCCAAACTTTACATTTAAAAAAAAAAAGCTCAACCATTACATCAAAACATAGTTTAGTTGATCCTTTAGTTGCAGTCATATAGCAGTTATTTGTTACTGTATTCATCTTTAATGGGACAGTCACATCACTGCCCTCTTTCAGGTCGGTGAGGAGGTCTACGCAGCCGTTTGGAGGCATCCAGCTGATCGTGTGTGGGGACTTCCTCCAGCTGCCTCCTGTGTCCAAGGGAAAGGAAAAGGCCAGTTTCTGCTTCCAGGTCAGACTGTTGTAAATCCTCTGACGCCACTGTTGGTCAATGCCATTGTGTCACTTAGTGCAGTCACACTGAAATATACCATTACATTTTACCACTCTGATTTATTCCAATACTGTGTGGCTAGCTTGCAACAATATGTAACTCTGACACGTATTGTTTCAAATTGGTACACAGTCCAAATTCAAAACATTGGAGAGGGAGAGAGCTCTTTCTGAGTCCTCCCGAGAGACGATGCTCACGCGGGTTGCCATGTAGCAAACACGGAAGCTACAGTGTTTAGCCGCTCTCACCTCTCCAGTTTTTTTCAAAAGCATCTCCAATATTTCTCCTAGTTTTACTTTGTTTCTTGTCGTGAAGCTTCTTAGAAAAATTCAAAACCTTTTAAAGTCAGTGAGAATCAGTTATATCTGAACCAACACCAGTTGGTTTGCCGTGATAACTGGTCTCATATCTGGCTTAAAGAGGGTCGTCCAAAACAACCCAATGGGGGGCCTTAAAACTGCCTTCCGTCTCTGTCAAAACAAATACAGACTATTGTAGACCAGAATCTAAAGTTAGAAGGAGGACACACCAGCTGCTGCGTTGTTGTCAGAGAAGCCAGCACTATAACAGAGCATGTTTGCTGATCATATAGTAAGGTCATTATGATTCATTTCAGTAGATATTTGACATATGGCTCCTTTAACTGGTGTCGTGGATTTTTCTGTATTAAACAAAAGATCTCAACTCAAACCGTTTTTTGCCTTTGTATTTTATTATCAGAATAACATGTTTTCTTTTTGCAAAAAGGAGGAAACTTATACCGAGTGCATAGCAGAATCCCGCTCGGGAGCGGTTACATCAATCTATACCAGACATCGCAAAGCGGGCACTCTCATTGGTTGACACCTGTTGATGAGTTTTAACCTGCCTAGAGACTAGTCTCATGGCCGTTATGTTCGTGCGTTGTTTGTGTACGTGTTACTTTTGATTTTTCCACTGTGCAAGCAGAAATTCTTGAAATTCGTAATTCATTATTGCTTCAG